GAGTCGGGCCTGTAAATGAACAAAAGTCTGCAATTATAAACTCTGTATACTTTTAGTTGTTTAATTAGTGTGGTCCCGGGCTGAGAGGCTGAATAATACGAGTGCGTCTCGCGTATCTAGAGTGGAAAATTAATGGCAACAAAATTAAATTTATTTTTGCAAAGAAAGAACAAAAAATAACAGCAACAGCAGCGGGAGAGCGGAGGCAGAAACAAGAGCAACAAAAACAACGGATTGCCAGACAGCCTGGCAATTTTGTTTCTTATTGGATTTTATTCGAGCGCACACGCGCGCACAACCAAGTGTGTGTGTGTGTGTGTGTGTGTGTGTGTGTGCGAAATTTATGTTGTTATTTGCGTTGCGGCGACTGCGCTGCCCACTGCGCTGCCCACTGCGCTGCCTCTTATCATGAGTTGTTCTCGCGACCGTTCTTGTTGTTGTTTCTAGTTCTCTGCTGTTGCTGCTGCTGGCACGTTACCTAATTAGTTGCCGCAGACAGCGCGACGTTTTTACCTTTTTCGTTGTTGTTGTTACCCACACAGAGAAACGTGGCTTTGCGGTCGCTTTGACGTAACACATTACGACAATTGCCAACAGCGTCGACAGCGACGCCGACTGCACGCGATTTCCGTTCTCTGCCCACGCACGTTTCTTGTGCTCCCTCTGCGACCGCTGCTGCTGCTGCTGCTGCTGCACACATCACCACAGCAACAGCGACTGCTGCAGCAGAGACAGCAGCCGCGGCAGAAAACTTGGCTAAAAAGATACTCAGATACAGATACCAGTAACCACGGCCAACAAACACGCGACAAAGCGCAGCTTCAAACGTTTTGTATTCCTCTTACTTGGGCTTTGGCTTCTGCATCCACACTTGGCTTTTGTCTTGCGGCTATAAAGCCACAGTACTCACAGTGGAGACTAAAAGCTAAAAAAATATAAAGTCTTAAATTTAAATATGTTTAACTCTTCGATAGAGTTTATTAGTTTATTATTTCAAACCCCTTGGAAAAAAATCCATAAAGTAGGCAATCAAATAGTTAAGACCCCAAAACTCTGTAGCATACGCAAACCAACTTAGTTGTTTTTAAATCTACATTAAATTACAATTTATTTTATTGAACTTTAACATTGATATATTATTTAATAATCGATTTTATGTTAAATTAAAACGTGAGTTTAATGTATTGCTACCTCTTTTATACATGTTTCCCAATTCCCAAACAAAATTAATATTTTTATCCCAAGATAACTCCAAAATTATTTTTAAATATTCTAGACTCGATTTTCTTCTATATCTAGCCAGCTTTATAATAAAAGTATTATCCCGAAAATAAACACACTTAGTTCCACAGTGGCCACGGGTTTTGGCAGCATCACATCGCTTGGATTGCAGCTGCTTGGCGACCCCACCTCACCCCAGACTACCACCCACTCCCCGCTCAGCGCTTTTCCCTCCTTATTTTATTCCGACCGCCCACTGCTGCCAGAGCTGCTGTGGTTGTTTTTGCTTCTTTTGACTCGATTTTTTCTTCGCCAACGAGACAGCGAGAAAAAACACTTGAACAAAATGCAACAGTCAGCTTATTCACAAAAATATTGTGTATAGTATATTTTTATTCGTTTGGCAAAGGTAATAAACAACACAAATCGAGGGAAAAGAAAAAAATATAACCAAAGACAAGACAGAAAAGCCATTTGGGCGAACGAAAACGCTTTCGAAGAGACACAAAAAAACAATGACAGATATGAGGGGGCGACAATAACAACACTAACAACAACAGCGATAGCAGCAACAATAACAAATCGACTTGAAAAGGCAATACAAAATTACCAATTTAAATGTTAAAATCCAAAGTGACGGCCGAGCAACGGGGCAAGCCACTAAAAATTAAGTCAAATAAAAATGCAGCCACGGCATTTAGTGAAGTAGAATGCTAAAAAAAAAGAGAAAAGGAAGGAAAATCTATACCCGAATGCATATACTAGAGATACGATAATTATATAAACAACGAAAACCGATTGCCGATGGCCTCTATTTCTATCTCTCTTGCTATCTGTATCTCCGTCTCTCCACAATACTCCCCACATGAAAAATGATCATCAGAAGATACATTCGTACACACGTTGATCATGAATATGTGGGGATACTATACTATACTATACTATACATATCTGTATAATCTGTATGTATGTAGCATAAACATATGTGTGGCACTGGGGACCATTGTATATATCAATGGGTGTATTATCATATCATCATCAGCCAGCGGACAGGCGACAGCGTCGACATTTTGTCGTTTTTATAAGAAGACAATACCCGCGACCATGCGTTATCTAATAAATTGTGAGGGAGTTGACAACGGACGACGGACGGACCACAAAAAAATACAAAAACAAACTGAAAACGAACAAAAATTAAACACGAAACAAGGCAAGAAATCTGCATTTTGGTCGTAAATACTGTTGTTGTCTGTTAGCTGTCCGAAAATGAGTCCAGAGTGAAAGCCCCCTCGAGAGATGTTTTCGGCCCGCGTGGGTTTTTCCCTCGAATTCCCCCGACTACTTACCTTTACAGAACCCGGGCTTGCTTATCAATATGCGAATTAGCCGATGATTATGCATGCAAATCGATTCAAAATGGTGGCACATCGGTGGACAGAGGAAATTAGCAGCTCACTGCTGATTGGTGTGTGAAAATTGATCCGCAAGATCGGAAGATAGCCCCCAGATAATGATTTAATGGCCCGCATCAAGCTTAGGATGTGTGTTCGGCCTTCATCAAAGTGCCCTGATCGATAGGTGCGAAATCGGTCGTTTATGTTTTCTCCGATGATGATCGATAGGCCCTGCAGGCTTTATACCTCGCATTTTTGGCCAGCTTATGCAGATTTAAGTATATAAAAAAATAATCCAAAGACTCTGGGTTCCTTTCAATATAACAATCTTTTGATTAAGCTTAAGATTTGCATAGGTTAGACTAAGAAAACTTGAAGTAGCACTATCTATCAAGGTTTCTAATATTCCACCCTTTTCCTGTTAATAATATTGACTTTGCACATTTGAAATGACCAATTTCCTGTCCTCAAACATTTCGATTAGCCAAAGCTAAAGCCTTTTGATTAGTTACCCTCTTCCAGCTCTGAGGTAAACCCTTCTTCTCTGGAACAGGCCAAATATTTACCCCAAACTATATGGACAAATGTCAACAAGTATGGACATTTTCCTCTGTAGATACCGCAATCGAAGACAGTGCAAACCTATTGATTAGATAATTGTTGAGAGTCACTAAATGTGGAGCGGGAAACGCGCGACAGTCTCCAGATACAGATACAGATACGGATACAGATAGGAACTCCCCTACGGAATTGGGGCCAGGTCTTGTCGCTTCGACTGCCACTAATCAGAGCCTCTTCAGTTCGGACACTTGAGGTTTTCCTGGCCAACTTCGCTCGGTTAACTCGCCTTACTATATATAGACAGGGAACCATGGCAGACATGGAGAAAACTCTTTGAAGAAAATCTAGCTGCTGCTGGTGCTGCTCTTTTTATTTGATTTCATTACGCTTCGGTTCGCCTTTTCCTATTTTCTTTTATTTTTTGTGTTGCCTCCGTTTGCGTGTTACTAAATTTGGTTGTCTGGGCATTTCTACGCGTCTCTGCGCGGCGGTGTGTATATATATGTGTGAGCCAGACCATTTTTAGTAGCCGGTCTATATACGTCCTGTGTGCCATGCCATATTGTATATGCCAAGTCTGCCAAGAGCTGCGGTAATTGCTAAGTATTTTTCTTTAATTCGTTGCTAACCGCTCGCTTGCTCGCAGCGCTACCCTTTTTTGTGGGTGTCTCGGCGGCCTGGGAAAGTGCTGCTCCTACTCCTCCTCCTCCTCCTCCTCCTCCGGCTTCATTTTGGCATCCGGGCCAGTGGAATGAAAAAGGTGATAGCAAGCGAGCCACAAAACTGCTACGCAGCATCCCAGTTCATTATCTCTGCTTCGCACTGTCAACAGATTAAGCAAAATAATTCAAAATAAAAGCTGCACACGCTGCACAATTCTGGTCTGGAGCGAGCGGGATGATGATGAAGACATTACGTCTGTTTTCTGTTTTTTGAATTCTGAATTCTGAACTCTGAAATACGAATGCTTGGGGGCCTCGACGTCGTGGTCGTCGTCACCGTGATGATGATGTTTTTGCAACCAGCAGCAGCACTCGGTTTTGTTTTGTTTGCATTATAAAATCGTTGGCTCTGCGAGTTTTTTTTTCGCACAAAACATCCGGTCGTATTTTAATTTAATGAGTATAAATTCTGTGCTTGGCCAGAGACACCACCACTGGCACTTTCTGCACAATTATTGTTTATTTATAAAGCATGCAAAATAAATATATACTTTTGAGGTCTTTTCGGGCGGAACGTATCTAATAATTGCGATTATAAATGAGTATACTTATTATTCCTATTAATCAAAAGGATTCGAGCAAACTTATGAATTTGTATTTTGTGTAGCTTATTTCATTGGAAATTTAATTAATAATTTTTATCAAGTTTACCAAAATATCGATGGAATTTATTGGACTTTGTAATCCTTAAATTTTATGGATGAAACAAATTATTGCATACTTTTATCCCTCATTTAAAAGTCCTATGTTTTTTATAGAACTTTCTTTTGATTTATTTTATATATTTTTTTAAACTAAATTTATTAAGAAAATTTTGGAAATATTATATGTTAACCTATAGCGTTTGATGTCAAGCTTATTTAATGGTTCCACCTTATCGCAATGCCTTCAGAAATGGTATTTCGGAAAGCATTTAATCTCAAATCATTTATTTATTTTAAAATTTTACTATATAGAATATAAAATTTCAAAATAAATATTATGGCCAATTCTTATTCTTATTTTTTCCTGTTTACATACATTTTGGCAAAATCCTTTAAATATCTCTTTAATAAATTTGTAACCAACTCTGATCGTGCTCATTCTCCCTTTTTTTCTTCAGCCATCATCATGCACACGGTGGTTGTAGCGCCGTGCACCGCTGTCGGAAGCTGCTTTCCAACACTGGACGACGCCGAGTGACATCCACTGGAATAACGGAGCGCGCTTTCTTAATGCAAATGCCGATCGCTTCGAAATCATCGAATTTAAAACAGAAAAACCCGCAAAATGCACGTTTCGGCCATAAAGGGCCGGCAGCCGAGAGAGCAGCAGCAGAACAATGGTGATAATAACAGCAACCGCCGCAGCAGCAGTCATCGAATATGCAGCAGCATGGAAATACTAAGTAATAGCAGCAGCGACGCAGTAACGATCGATGCCAATGGCAAGTTTTTAATGTCATGGCGACGTCGCCGGCGACGATGCAAAAACAACGATAACGATTGCAATTACAACACTACAACCAATGATTTCAATAAAATCAATAAACTGCTGCTAATTACGTACATGCTGCTGATAACAGCGGCCACAATTTGTCAAAGCGCCGCCCAGTCGCCGTCATCATCGAACGGCGGAGGCAGCGGTGCGGGATCGGGAGGATCTCCACTGAGCGCCTTTCTCAAGTCAGGCGGTGCATCCTACAATCAACAGCTGCCGCAGCAGCAGCTCTTCGCCATGCTGACCAGGAATGGAGTTGGAGGAGCTGGTTCGGGTTCTGGCGGTGGCGGCAGCGCTAGTCACCGGGGCTTCCCCAATGCCAGGCAGCACTTTCTCGCCCTTAGCGAAGACGACTCGGATGCTGATGTAGATGAGGAGGATATGGCTGCGCTGCACTATCCATTGGTATCCGCCTCGCATCCCCCCTCGGGACTATCATCGTCCTCATCGGGATCCCTGGACTCCAATGGTTTTGTGGCCGACGATGGCGGCCAGTACGAGCAAGCGGAGAAGGCTCTGGCCGCAGCTGCAGCAGCGGCGAAGGCGAGCAACAAGCACAATATAGACTGTCCCAAAGACTGCAAGTGCCTGGCCGTCCTTTTCGATTGCGACAAACTGCATCTGGAGCGAGTGCCGGTCTTGCCTGGCTATGTGCAAACTCTGTAAGTAACTGACTTACTAATTAAATGGTTTAGGATTTACTTAGAATAGAGTTTAAAGATTACGTTTAGTTCGTAACTGGAGAAGTAATAGACTGTCTACTCCATAAATAAAATAATTTGTATCTATAGAGCTTACATCAATTAAAATTGTTTAAAAAAATGCCGCAAATAATTAAACCTTCTTGAATCTACGGATTCTGCAATGAATTTCGAGATCTTCAACCTTCTCAGCTTACTTTTCCATGGCTTCTATTACAGAAAAGTTTGTCTCATTAAACCATTTATTCCTCCAACCGAATTATTCATTCAGATTCATATCTAGAATAGGGGTCTGCGTGGTGGGGTTTGACAAGTTCGACGTTATTTCAATCCATAAATTGCCAGAGGGATGAAATGGCAAGCAACAACCCCCGCAGAGATAAGCTGCAAATATGGAATAAATTGCAGTGCGGCGTACAACCCTCGATTTCGACATTTGCCCTCAATTTTGGCCTCTTTTTTCTTTTTTGTTCTTTTGGTTTTGTTTAGTTTTAGAGGGTTGCGATTTTATCGTAGAGCTTTTTAATCAATTTAATGCATGGCGAAATTATGCAAACGGCGTTTGTTGTTGTGTTATCAGTAGCTCGGAATCGATAATTGTGGCATAATTATGATGCATTTGTCAAGCCAGGGATTTTGGGAATGCAATTAATTGAATTTTATCTATTCGACAGGCATCTGGCGAACAACAAACTGAATGACACAACCGTCCTGGAGATACGCAATCTGTCCAACTTGACTAAGCTGTAAGTGCAGTATAATATTACATTTTTAGATGGAATCTTGAATCTTCATTTCATTTCTTTTGTAGCACTTTAAAGCGAAATCTACTTGAGGCCATACCCAAGTTCACAGGTCTCATTGGCTTGAAACACTTGGTCTTGGCCAACAATCACATTAGCATTATTTCCCATGAGGCTCTGGCAGTGCTTCCAGCTCTAAGGACTTTGGATCTGTCCAGGAATCTAATTCACAGCATCGAGGCTAACTCTTTTCCCAAGCCCAACAGCTTGGCTCACTTGTAAGTTGTATGATATAATAATTATTCGAGTTTATTACATCAAGAGCCTTGTATATTTCTCCTTTTAGGATATTAAGCTTCAATGAGATAGCCAATGTGCATGAAAATTCGCTTGAGGACTTGAAAAATCTCACGGACTTGGAGTTGAATAACAATCGTTTGAGCAGCCTGCCCATGGGAGTATTTAGGAATTTGAATCGTCTTAAGAAGCTGTAAGTTTATATTATAATATAAGTGTTATAATTTCCTTAATTAATAATATAAAAACCCTCCTAATATTATTTTACCTTTGCAGGGCTCTCAACTACAACCACTTGGAGATCAATTGGTCTACCTTCCGTGGCCTGCTGTCGCTTAAAAACCTTCAGTTGAAGTCCAACAAAATCCGAGGACTGCAGGACGGTGTCTTTCATGTGATGCACAGCATCGAGATTATTGACTTGGCCATGAACCAAATCGGTTCGCTGTCCCGTCAGGGCCTCTTCAACCTGACCAAGCTGCGCCACCTCAATTTGTCGATGAACGCCATATCCCGCATCGAGCTGGATACCTGGGAGTTCACCCAATCGCTGGAGGTGCTGGATCTCTCTCACAACGCCATCAGCGAGTTTAAGCCGCAGCATTTGGATTGCTTGCACCACCTAAAGACACTCAATTTGGCTCACAATCGGCTGCAGTATTTGCAGGAGAACAGCTTCGACTGTGTCAAGAATCTAGAGGAGCTGAATTTGCGACGCAATCGTTTGTCCTGGATCATCGAGGATCAGAGTGCAGCGGCGCCTTTTAAGGCTCTGCGTAAATTGCGACGTCTTGACCTGCACGGCAACAATCTAAAGCAGATCAGCAGCAAGTCAATGAGTGGCCTTAACAACCTGGAGACCCTCAACCTGGGCTCTAATGCCCTGGCCAGCATTCAGCCCAATGCCTTTGAGCACATGATGCGGCTAAACAAGTTGGTTTTCAAGTCGCTGAATTTTATCTGCGACTGCGATTTGATTTGGTTCCAGCAGTGGCTGAAGAGTCGCTTCCCCCAGCAGGCGGAGCATGTGGTCTGTGGCTATCCAGAGCATCTGCTAGACCGTCACCTGAAGACTCTAAATGGCTCCGAGTTGGTGTGCGGTAAGCTTAGTTAATATTTATACTTTTTCAATTGTTATAATTCTATTTTTATCAGTCGACTCCCCCAAACCGCGGCTGGAGCAGGAGCCGGACAACATGCTGGCTGTGAATGGAGCCAACATCACTCTGGAGTGCATTGCCAGCTCACCGACTGCAGCTTCTCTGGCCGCTGCCGATGAGCTAAAGATCAAGTGGCGTCATGACAACCAGCATGTCCTAGAGCGGCCGGCAGCACAGCATGACGGGGCCAGAACAGAGACCCAGATCCACCATGATCCGAGCACGAATCAGACCTCCATCTATGGCTACCTGAGGCTGACCAATGTGAGCTACGAGAGCGCTGGACGCTACCAATGCGTGGTATCCAATGCCTTTGGCACCACCTATGCCCAAAAGTTTAAGATCTCCATAGGAAGTGAGTAGTCTAGTCTGGTCTGCCTTTTGCATTTAAATCTTTCTCACACGGTTTCTTTTCGTTTTATCTTCCAGTTCATCCCACCTTCCTGCAAGTGCCATCCAATCTAACCCTGGACGCCGGCGAAACGGCTAGACTAGTGTGCTCGGCCAGCGGGGATCCCACGCCAGAGATAGCTCTGCAGAAATTTGGAGGCAGCGAGTTTCCAGCAGCCACCGAGCGACGTCTGCAGGTGATGCGCGAGGAGAATGCCTTTCTGATTACCAATGCCAAGCCCAGCGACTCGGGCATATACACATGCACAGCGCTGAGTGCGGCCGGGGAGATAAAGGTCAACGCCACCCTGGTGGTGAATGGTGAGTTATCTTAATATTCCCCAAGAGTCCTTGTTGCTAATTCTTTTTACTTTACAGACAAACCCCAGCCCAGCATTCCTTTGGTGCACCAGGAGGTGGTTGTCGGTCGCAGCTCTGTGCTCAAGTGCATGAGCGATTCTGTGAATGCCGATCTGGAGCAGGAACATCTGCATCGCGAGTGGTTCAAGGAGAACAAGCCCATACACAATTCACCGACAACACCCGACGGAGATCGCTATTATTTTTCAGGTAACAAGGAACTGCTCGTCATACTCGATGCCCAGTCCAACGATGCCGGACACTATCGGTGCGAGATAACAGACAACACGCGCACTTTTACGCTCCAGCTGGAGCTGGTGGTGGTCAAGGAGAATCTCAACTGGGATGTACTCCTTATTGGAATCATTGTGCTAACTGTGATCTGCATCGTAGTCGATTGCTGCATCATTTGGTGCACACTGCGCTACCAGAAGCGGAAGCTGCGCATGAGCCTGGCTGCCGAACGATTGGCAGCTCGCACCCAGGCCAGTTTGCACTCGACGCTGGACAAGGATCAGACGCAGTTGACCACGTTGAATCGCACGCAACTGAGGCCGCACCAATCGCAGCTGGTGCTGGATGGTATCCCTCCACAGCTGCAGCAGGGACAGTTGCGACCGCGCAGTCTTGCGGATCTCGACAATAGCCAAACGGCTCACAGTCGCCTCATTGTGACCACGACGCCTTCGTACGAGCAGCGCTGCCTGGAGCAGGGTCTAACGCTCAGCTACCTGCAGCAGGCGGACCTCGAGGCTCAGCAGGATCATCTGTCCAGCAAGGACTCGGGCACTGGCTCAGATGCGGCCGTCAAGCGTAGCCTGGAGGACTTTGTGGTGGCCATGCCCAACCACAAGACTCATACGGACGAAGAGGAAGATGATGACAACGACCTGCAATACGCTCCCACGAGGGCTCTCGGCATCTCCGAGTACGACGACATGGAGTTGTACGAGCTAAACCATACAGCGGCCGAGCAGCAGCAGTTCCTGCAAAATAACAATCACAACTACGACGGTGGCGGGGTGGGTATCGCCGGGTTTGATGCGGTGGGAGCAGCGACGCCCAAGGTGTTGCCCCGCAAGTGCGGCATTGGAGCGGCCAGCAGCAGCTACAACGCCATCCAACAACAGTCGTCCACCACGGTGGACATCTAAGAAGCTGAAACCAAATGCGCAGAATGAGCATAAGGAGGATCTTATACCAAAAAAAAACTGGCGGCTGACCCATTCGCAGCCCCGCCCGCAACCCGCCACCCAAAACGAACAAAGACTGTTTAACTCGTAATTATAATTGGTAGACAGAGCAGGCGGCCTTATTGATGCCTTTTTGCTAAGAGAGAAACATACCAGTGTCTTCGTCATTTATGAAATTAATTAAATTAACTTTGTAGAGCGCCTAATATCTTATAATCCCGTAGCGTGTATTTATACTTTTCGTTTCGCTTGTGATATTATTTATTATTTCCGACTACACCCGAGTTTAAGGCGTAACCCATATTCACCTCTGTACATATAAAAATCACTTAGGCATTAATTATAGTTTGTACCTAGTTTGTTAAGGCGTGAGGCAGCATTGTTGACCCAAGATTTTGACATGGAGTGCTGGAAGTGCGTTTAAATTAAATTGATATTTTGCAGTTCTTTATCATTTTCTGTGCTTGAAATTAACTCTTTTAGTTGAATTTGAATTTATTTTTGCCCTGACAAAATCTATGAATTGAAACAAAGGTTAAAAATATTTAATAAAATGCATTATTCCAATAAATAAATCAAATATCTATGGTTTTTTTTTTTTCAATTTTGGGTTGGGAAAACAATTCAAAATGGTTTTGAAAGCAATTAATATTCAGAAATTTCTGCGAAACCATAAATAAATCTATAAACGTGGCTAAAATATAGCGAAATAATATAAAAATTAAAACACCATAGTTGTCTACTTTGGGTCCGATTTTATTAATTGCAAAATCCGCTTGGTAAATGCTTGGTCAGTTGGAATCCTCGGAGCTGTCACTGTAGGCAGCCAGAAGGGACAGACCAGCTGGCGCTGCTGGTGGGGGATTTGTGGCTTTATTTTCAGCTTGACCAGCTGTTGCTGTCGTGGTTAGTGGTGGGTTGGTTTGCCTGGGAGTCACTACTGCTGCCTTTGGTTTGACCAGAACCAAGGGCGTCTTTCTTTTTACCAGTGGCTGCTGCGTGGCAGATGCTTTGCTGGATGATGTGGCAACGGAAAAACTGAGTGTACTGGACTTGGCCTGCTTAACGGGCGGTGGGGCAGGCAATCGGTCCACCTCCTCCTTGACATCTTCAATGATTTCCTCGGCCACAACACGTGAGCCGCCCTCCGATTTGTTCTTAAAGTTGACCGATCTAAAAGAATGGCGTGAGTATAAAGGGAGAAAATATGTAGAGAAGGCCACACTTACTTGATGAACTCTTCGTCTTCGCGTTCCTCCCGCTCCTGGCGCTCCCTCTCCGTCTCGCCCGTGTTGTACTGTTGCAGCATGGTTGTATAGTCCACCGTCTGCTGGCGACGGTTCAGGTCGCGGAGCTCTTCTAGGCTCTCCAGCATCTCGATCTCGTTGCGCGACTGCTGGGTGCGGTTCTCTAGGAGCTTCATCGGGTTGTTGGCCTCCTCGTCGCGCAGCTCTTGCTCCTCCCGCCGTGCCTGCTCTTCGGCCAGCTTTAGGGCCATGAAATTCCTGGTGGCGCCCGCCTCGATCTCGTAGTCCGTGTTCTGGGGGTCCGTTTTGAACGAGATCTCCTGCAGACAGCGTGTGCACTTGATGTAGAACCTGTAGATGCGGATTCCGAGGTACGTCTCGTTTTCCACGTCCTCCTTGCGGGCATTAAACTTCTTGCCCTTGTAGATGTACTCGCCGCAGGTCTTGCAGCGCATGTTGAACGGAGCCATAAGTCGCACGGTGTACTGCCTGTTTTTGGCCAGTTTCATGCGCGGAATCTTCGATGGATCGAAGTCCGGGGGATAGTATTTCTGCAGAGAATCGATTAGGGTTAGCCGTGCAGCTCAAGCTTGTCCATTTGTATGTTCTTTTACTTACGTTTAGCACTTTGCGCTCGGACATTTTGCGTTAAAATTGAGTTAAATGCGAAGTAAATAAAATTGTTAACTATTAGAGATGTCAAACCATATGATTACCTATCGATAAAATCGATTTTTTTGTAGTTCTTAGCTGGATTGGTGTTGGTAAATGTTGAGCAACACTGTCTTATAAGAGTCTTTCGATATGTGCCGTTATATTCAAATTCAACACAACAAGAAAGAAAGCTAACTTTGGCATGTTGAAATTTGTATACCTTTGGCAGTTTATAATTAATTTATTAAGAAATGGATCCATTTTGGTCAAATGGGTTTTAACTAAAATTATAATACCCTTAAAGGCGTATTCAAATTTAAATATTTATGGAAAGTCAAAGTTTAAAAATATCATAACTAAGTCAAAAATGCATTAATTTCCAATCTAAAAGGTGTTCTGTGCTTGGTTTTTCTATATTAACAAATCTACTTACTGAATTTTCAAATTTTGAGAGATCAAAATTCTGATCAATTTTGACAATTTTAACGATGTAACCCCTTATCAAATTTTGAAAAAATCTCATAAAATTAATTTTTTTCCGGACATGGCTAGAAAGACTCGCCTGTTGATGGTGATCAATAATATATATGATTTATAGGTTCGGAAATGCCGCCTTCTCTGTGTAACAAACTTTTTATACCCTACAATGGTACAGCAGAATCCACTTTTAGCTGAAATATATCATACTTCTTGTATAAATACGGAATAAGAATACAAAAAACATGGTTTTCCAATACAATATGCAAAATTTATATCCACTTTAAAAGCTTTAGTTATGCTTTAAAAACATTTCTTTGGCTATAATTGCTGCTACGTTCTGTTCGTACAATACACATCCAATAAATACAAAAAATACACAGCTCCTTGGACATCACAGCTGTCTCGTCTTTCACATGTTGCTGCTGCTCGTGCCCGCCTCATTGCTGCCCGTCGTAAGTGGCGAAGTGCTTTTCCGCAGGCCGGAGTACCGCGTCGGCAGCTGCAGAGTGGGCACATCGATATTATCGGCCTTAGGAGCGGAGGACACATGGTCATCCGCTTCCCCACTGCCCACTTCCACGTCCGGGAAGCTCACCTTCTTGGGCGCCGAAAGGGCTGGTATCGTTTGGGACTTGGGACGGCCCTCCAGCTTCAAGGCTGCTCGGGGAATCTTTTGTTTTACCAGCTCATAGGTGCAAGCGTAGAGGAACGTGTACTGCTGCAGGGTCTGCACCATCTTCATGCGCTGGAAGTAGAAGGGGAGGATGTGTCAAGAGATATTCTCTTTTGCTTGGGAATTCAGTTTGCTCACCTGAAACCGCAGCTTCTTCACCGTCTCGAAGATGTTAATTTTCGACTCGCTTTTCAGACGCTGCATGATCAGATCCAGGCCAATGAAGGTGCCCGTCCTGCCCACTCCCGCGCTGCAATGGACTACAATAGGTGAGTAGCTGGGCCGCCGTTCCGCCTTCACCTTTTTAACAAAGGTAATTAGGTGCATAGGATCCGCGGGACAGCCGTGATCGGGCCACTTCTTGAAGTAGAAGTGGATCACCTTCTCCTTCAGGCCGTACTTGTCGTGGATCACTGAGAGTTCGGTACGATCATACAGCTCAAAGACCTCCTTGGACTTGATAGTGACTGTTAATCCCCTCATGGTGTATGGAAAGTACTCGTGGCACTTGATCTGTGTGGGAGATTAGGCTTTCCACATTGAATTTAAAGCTATTTTATGTCACTCACAATGTCGTTTTCCCGGAACTGGGTAACCTGAACAATGACTCGGACGTTGTACTGCAGGACCATGCGCCAAAAGTCCATTATGCTCTCCGGCTTGGGTCCCTGCGTGGCTATGTACTCCTTTTTCCTCGGGTCTCCCTGGGGAAGGTAGAAATATTAAAGTAGAACATCTCTAAGCACAACAACTTACGTCTATAAAAGAGGCGTTGATGTAGTCCGATCCCTCTGCATCGATGTCGAGTATTACTCGATTCTTGTCGTCTGTTGGAAGAAAAAAAGGTTTAAGATACAGCAAATCCTTGGGTTTCCTATTTTACTTACAGGGATATATGTCTGCATAGCGATTCTTATGGCAACCCAACTCGGAGGCGGCATAGCTCAGCTCCAAAGCCTGCACGGTGATCTCCTTGAACTCGCGCGCCAGCTTCTCCGGCTTGGCCACCTCCGCATAGAAGATAGCAAAGTTCTTGGCAATCACATTTCCAAAAGGATCCTCGATACCCTGGCCGGAGTCGCGATGCCTGGATCAAAGAGAGTTTATCCTTAGAGAACTCTTTATAAAATTACTAAGATATCTAGACCCACCAGGCCATTCGCTTTCGCACCCACAGCACCGCCAATCCAATCACAAAGGCCAGCAATAGGCAGCTGCACACGCTCACGAGGATCAGCGTGACCTTAAGGGCCGCTTCCGTCTTGAAGTACACCACAGCAGCATCACTGTAACCAGACTTTGTGAACAGCCTCACCACCATGTTGTACTCCGTGTCCGCTTTCAAAGGCCCATTGCAAAAGCGCTTGCCCTCGTTGCACTTGTCGGTGCCAATGGTAAACACTATTTCCAGCGACTCCAAATCCACGTCCCGACTCTGCCGTGCCCTAGTGCTGACCACCGGTTCCCAGCGCTCCTCTGTCGTTTGGTATTGCAAGATGCAAGATGGTCCTGTTCCGTCGCCTCCAGCTTGCTCGTAGTTCAACACGTTGGGCCAACTGTCACCGACATTGTGCTGCAGTTCCGGTGCATCAGCGCAGCTCGAGAGGAGAAGCGCAATGTAGGTTATCTCCCCGGACTCGGACTGCAAGATTTCAGCCGGAAGTCGAACAACCGCTGACTTGGTCGGGTGATTCGTCTGCTGGGGGATGACTTTCATTTCGTCCACTACCTGTTTGCTCAGAACAGAAGGCACTGAAAAGGTAAAAGAGAGTTAAATTGGAATCTCTAACAAGGCATTGGACTCACATCCTGCTGGTGACTCCCATGAACCGGGCACACTTCCGCTGAGCTCCTCCACTTCGCGGTTCTTCACGGCCACCTGTACGGTGTATGCATACTGCGGCTGCATATCGGTCTCCGTGTACGACATCCGCCCCTTGAGGTTCTCCGTGTCCAGTGCCACATTTCGCTGGAATGCAACCGGTTTGTAGTTTGGCCGGCTTCCGCTGAAGCTCAGCTGGAAGTACTCAATATCGCCATTGGACTTGCAGGGAACCGTCCAGGTGATGGTCACGTTCGCACTGTACTCTTTGTTGTCATTCAACGGACCCTGGGGCAAGACGGATAGCTGGGTCACGTTGTCGGAGACTGAAAGGGCAAGGTCATAAATACAGGCGTGCTTAAAAATACTTTTAGTTGTAAAATCGTAGAGATATTTAAAGTTAACTTATGAAATTAAGTTACAAGCTGAAATACCTCCAAATTAGAAAAACCTTCAACTCACCTGTCGGACGAGTGGTGCCAATTACCGGCGCCGTGTAGTCACCCATTCCAAAATCATTCTGGGCCGCAACCTGCAATATATATCGCACCGATGGCGCCAAACCCGTGAAGTTCGCATTCAGATCTCCCTTGGTCTCCGGCTTGGAGTCCTCAACAATTGCAGGACAGTCCTCCGGCACAAAGTAGCTGGCCTCGTGGCGCATCAGAAAGACCTGGTAGTACTTGATCGGGCCATTTAGATAGGTGGGCGGTTCCCAGGTGAACTGTAGGCTACTCCGAGTGCTGTCACGTGGAGTCACGTTCTGCGGCTGCTCGGGAACTGAAATATGATTGGGAATCATTTAGGTTTTTCTCAATTCATTTGTGGCTTAGCTTACAGTATGTTTCGGTCTGGAGATTATGGATCGTCTTCACCGGCGAAGGTCCTGCTACATTGTACAATGTCACACTGCAGGAGTAGTAGGTGTACGGGGAGAGCGGACTGAGCTTGGCCTGGAAGCCTGCAAGGGAAGCAAAATGATTCGCATTCTGTCCGGTTTTAGGACTCCCTTTTCTATTTCCATACCTCGCTTGCTGTGCCCCTCGACGTAACGCTCCGCGGACGGATTGCGTACAGATGAGGTGGTGCTGCAGTTGAAGAAGGCAAAGATGGTCAGACAGGTATTGTTGTAATCCGCATTGTTGGCCGATAACTCCAGGCTGTGCGAAGCCGAACCCTTGCCCGTCAGCTGGAGGGTGATCTGAGTCCAAGTGGAGGTAGAACAAAAAGCTTGAGAATGACTGTGTTACTTCTTTATCTGTTACCCATACCTTGGAGGAATCGACAATGGCCGGCCTGGTCTCCACCTCGACCTGCCGCAACTGACCATCAAGGCTCTCCCTGGTGTAGGGGATGATCTGGATGATGTAGACTTGGCAAGCTAGAAGATTGCTAAAGACCACGCTGGTGTTCTGGGTGGTGACACTGAGAGCCTCCACCTCCACCACCGTGACATCGTCATCCATCCAGCCAGACAGGCGGTAGCCATCGATGCAGAGATCCGCATAGACGGGTGTCAGCCAGGTCAACTCCAGCGAGAAGGAATCGGGCAGCAGAACGGGCTCCAGGATTTGCGTGGGCTCTAAGGAAATGAGGTCATTAATAATTAAATATTCAAGAATAAATCCATTAAAGTTTCTTACGATCTTCACTGACAGTGCCTTGGTCCTGGTACCTGGCTCCAGAGCTACCATTCAGCAAAATGGGCACTATCTCTACGGTGTAAATGCCGCATGGATCTAGGTTCTCGAAGACAGCCACCTTATCCAGGGTCACCAAGTCTGTGGTTTCATTTGCAGGCCGTTGGCTGGGTCCCGATAGCTTTACACTGTAATTGGCCACACATCGGGGATGATCCTGGGGCTCGCTCCATGTCCAACGCAGCTCCGTGGTATTGGAGATATGAGTTGGCTCGAAGACAGCACTGGAAACTGGAAGAGGAATTACCAAAGAAGGTCATTGGTTGGGGAAACTTAGGGGACAAAGCAAACAACTCGCCCTTTTCCGCGGATGTAAACTGCTGCAAGGCCTTGGCTGTGGCGTTTTCATTAGTAAAGACCTGGAAGGTGTACAGCTCGCATCCTTGCAGATCCGTCAGTAGATACTCCCTGAGCTTGCCATCAGCAGAGATGTCACTCCATTCGCATTCAACTTGAGACGATTTGAGGATTTATAATATATATTTATCCCTTTCAATTGCAAAACTTACCACTGTTGTACTCTGGCTGCTCCGGAGAGCTAGGTTCTTCTGTGCTGGCATCTGTGGTGTAATCCTCACCAGAGCTCGTTGTCATGGGATCTTCCGTTGTGGTCGTTTCCGGTTCTTGAATGCAGTCGTCGCGTCGCCACTTGAAAACATAGTTGCTGATGCAGTTCTCCTCGCTGGGATCGCCCCACTTAACCACCGTAATGCCGTTGGCCAGGTTAGTGATATTCATAGATATATCGCCTGGCTCTGCATACAGAGTATCCACATTCTGGGTGTCTTGGTCCACCACTTGACTGGCATTGTTGTGGGTCACCAAAGTGATGGTGTGCGTCAGACAGGACTTTACACCCTTGAAGGTATGTGTGCTCTTATCGTTCAGCTGCTCCGTGGAATAAGTATCCGCCGCCTTGGCTTCAATCTTGAAGAGCGCCACGCAGGCGCGATCGGTGGTCTGCCAAGTAACCTTAATAGTGTTTGCTGTGGGCACCACCGAGGTCATTGTTGTCCTGGGCTCTGCCAAAAGATATTATAGTTATTATCAGTTAATAAAGAAAAGAAACAAAATAAAAACGAATTCCTCTTTGCAGAAACTAAAATCTAGCATAACTGATAGTTTCAAGATATTTCCAAACAACAGGAATTTATTTATAGAAATGTTTACACTCACGTTTGTACTCGGTGTAGGCATAGATAGTTTGGTCGGGAAGAGGCGGAGTGCCAACGACAATTGAACGGAAGCTAACCACACAGGTGTAGAAGGTGCAGGGATCTAGGCTTTCGCTACAAATAAAAAGAGTTTAGTTAAAGGGATGCAGTTAAATGAAATTGGATCCTCCATTAGTTACCACACATTAGCCTCGTTGGCTTTGGTTTCTGTACCGCTTCCATTGCGACAGGTGACGCTGTCAATGGCATATTCCGTGCCATCGGAGATCTTAAAGGCAAGCGTATAAGCTGTGGACACTACATTGACCTCAACCTCTGAAATGGGACAAGGAAAAGGTTAAAACCTAACAGCAGGAATCCATCTTATCTCCAAGAATGTTAAGATCCTTTTGATCTTTGATAAATAAAGATAAAGTAGTTTGATATATTTACTTTCTGCAAATTCCTGACTCCCACTGATGGCATTTGCCGTTAGTTCAGATTGTCCTTGGACCCAGGCTATCCACAGGGTCAGCAGGATCAGCCCGTATACCTGGATGTTTGGCTTCCAGTGTGTGGTGTCCATCTTAGGACCACATTGCTTCTGACGCCCGTGCTGCTGTGAATAACAAAAAATATTAATAATTAATTGTTAACCCAGGGGAGCTGCTAAGTGCAACCGGTTGCCTGTGGGATTTTCCACGAAGCAATAACCTCTCCCAAACACATCTACATATGTGCATGTATATATTCAAACACTTTTATTTGGGATTCAAAATCAAAAAATATGTGAAATAAAAATAAATAAGAGTTCACTGTACGTGTACGCCAGCGTAAGGTGTTGATTCGTAAACGATTAGTGGCTGGCTGTGAACTCTCGAAGATCTTTTTTGGAGATTCTGGAACATCCAGTTGCTGACCAGCGCAACAATTGTTGTTTTCTTTTGATTTCAAAATATGTAAAACCGGAGTCAAGCTGCCTGCAACTGATTTGTGATAATTGCAGAACATCCGCCAGTAATTGAATAATGTAAATAAAGCTCGATGGAGGATATCAAAGTCGGGGACCTGCACAAGCAACGACTGAAAACCGATCATTGCTCAGGGAAGCGACCAGCTTAAAGGCTGTTCAATGTCAGGTGGATTCAGAAAGAATCTTATCTGGGGAGGAGGGCACTTAACGCCGCTCACAGAAGTGGTCAATATAGAGCCGATACAGATAGCGATTATAATCTGGCTGTTGGACAACCCAATATTGCTTGCTATAAATTAAAACTCTTAGCGAGCAGCCCTGGAACACCCATTAATCAAGGCTTTGTTTGCAATCCCATCACGCAGCAGGCGCATTGATTGTGAATTATAAATAGATATAAACACTTTGGCCGCCGATATGCGAGGAATAGTGCGTCATCCGTAGATCTAATACAACGAATACCGCGAAATCGGCAGCACTAATTACTAATTTCTGCTGTCGTCGTCGTCGGAAGAAAGACACATCACTTTGGCGCAAATAAAATTACATTTCTCGATACCTATTAATGGTTCGTCAGCCAACACACGTTCTTTATCTAAAATGAAACGAAGACAATTATTTGCCAGGTTCCCAGCCACGCTGCGCTGGCTTGTTTAAACAAATCGCTGAGAGTTCCAAACGCCGAAGCGCCAAATAAGCCAATAATAACAATTTAACGGTTACACACACGACCGACCGACCGACTGAACGAACTGTCTTTATCAATGGCATATAATCAGTGTTGTCCAGATAACACTAGCATTTGGCTGCGCGGAGGCCATAAATGCTTTCGATTTTCGAATTGGAGTCCAAACGCCATAAATAAAGGCAGCTTGCAGTGGCCATCGGATTATCCTGAATCTGAATCACTGCCAATTGGCACACGATCGATTAATATCAATCTATATTATCGGGTGTAATTCGAGCAAATGACTGATTAAATCAATCACTGATAACAGTCCCGATTTACACTATTCGGCAATTTGAACAATGAATTCGACGGCAACGAAGACTGCACCACCACTGCCACTCACTGCTGAAAAAAGATCGTTGGTTTCTGAGGTATTCCGGCACTTCAATAATCGAAAGGATCGACCGAATTCTGCCTTGAATGTAACTGTTTCCCCTGAGCGTTTGTTGAGCACTGGAGCACTCAGCGAAAGGGAATAATGAATAGTCTCTGAAGCTCATTCGGCGCTGATAAGAAAAAGTTTACTCCCATCGTAAGTGTTTGAGTAAGATAACAACAAAAGCGAATTCACCACACTCGGTAGGGCGAACAACAGCACTGTAATGTAAACAAAACCCGGTTCCCAAGTAAAAAGGTATAATCAAAGCACTTAGAATTTAAATTTATTTTGAACCACAAAGGCTAAGGGTTTTTGAAAATAACGTAACAGTTCAACAGATATCGATAACTTAAAAGTAACAACTGTTTGCTCATGAACGGAAGGTCTTGCAGCACTGGCAGCACCTTGAATATGCTAGATTTTGAGAAAAAAGCTAAAAAAAGCTATAAATATACTAACAAAAAACACCAACAAGTAGCTACATTTAAATACAAAAACATTCAAAATGTCCTTTATTTTTTAACAAGACAACTTTGGGCTATGTGTGATATTAAATAATCAATATTCAAAGTCTGTTAGCGAGCCAAATTCTGTAATCGAGAGCATTTCTATGTTAAGTAACAGTTTGCTTTGAAATTCAGAGTGACCAGGGAGAAAATACCAAATATCGAGATTTCGGTATTTTGATATACTTACATTTTTACACTCTACACGATAATTCTACCCCAAAACGAGAATTCGACCCCAAAAACGAGAATTCGACCCCAAGCATGTAAAACTCTGTTTTGACATTTTTTGCTCTGAACTTCAGAGTGACCAAGGGGAAATATCAAAAAATATCAAACAAAAATATCGCGATTTCGATATTTGGGCAAACACCAGATATAGTGGGAAAATAGCTAAACTGGCCACACTGGCGTCCGCATTCTGCGTAATTCTTTTCAACAATTCGCTTGAGCATAAATAAATAAATCGAGGTATAAATACATAAACGAATAACTTGATGTAAGTATGCGTAGCGCATAACGAAAAAGTGATCTAAACGCGTCCGATTGCCTTAAGCTGACATTTTTCGCAAAGGTGACTAGTGTGTAATGGCAATTGGGAAAAAATGAAAAAGTGTCATATGTACGACATTGCCCGTGACATAGTGTTAGTGCGCGCGTTATGTACCGAGAGAAATGAATAATTGAAGCTCCTCACGGGCAGATACTTTAAAATATTGTGTGTGCAAATTACGGACATTTGTCCTTTTCCCATTTTGCATATTGCCTTTTGGACTCTCTTCATCGCGCCCCTCTCTCTATCCAAGATGGCCGTCGTAACAGTATTTTCGTTTGTGGCGTTGTTGTTGTTATTGTGTTTGCTTTGTGTTTGTTATTGAAAAGAAAACGGAAAAGGCAAGAGAAAGAGTTATGCAAATTATGCAAAATTTGTGTTAAACAAAAAGCTAAACCAGCAGAGTGCAAGGCAAAATAGAAGAAGATACAAGAAAACAATTACATTTTTTACAACCACCAGAAAGCGATGACACATCGCGTGCCTTGGTGTTGGTGTGTGTGCGTGTGTGCCGTGTGATTTTTTGCGCATGTGTTGGGGCATTCGTCCTCCCCCTCGCCGCAGCAAAACGCTGAACGATTGATCGATTTTTACCCAAGTCAAGCCAACTCCCCGATTCCTGGCATAGTTCCGCCTAACACCTTCACCCGGTCCCGACCCGGGGAGCGTGTGGCAAGAAATAGTCCAAACCAGTTCTGCCAATGCAGAAGAAATCTCGTTTTATTTTCTTCGCTGTGGTGCTGTGTGTTTTTTACAGTTTTTCCGTTTTGGGCTCTTTTTTTTTGCTTCTTTCATGGCCAGGGCATTCTTTGAGGTATTCAAGATCCGTTGTATTCGCGATTTCCCGGAATGTGTGTGGAAAGCGCTGAGACAGCCCGTCTGACAGCCAATTGTTGTTATCTTCGTGGGCCTTATCTGAGTAGCTGCTTATTCCACGTTCCCAGCTGAAGGTTATTGTGAAAAGCCTTAATCGCCCCTTTCTAAGCCCATCTAAAGGTTAAAGCCAGGAGTTTTCGTCACTTTTCCCTTCTCTGCACTCGAGTCAGTAGTTGCATTCGCCGTATGGCGTGTGTGGGCGAGTATGTGTGTGGGTTAATCAATGAAACACGCAAATCGAGTAAACAAGCAAAAGCAAGTGCAAGGTCTGTTTGCCAGAGCGGGAGAAAGAGAATTGCACACTGCCGCCTTCCTCAGAGGCAGAAAGAGAGCGCTGGCTGGCATCCTTATTGAATGCGAGAGTGCGAGTGCTAGTGTGTGAGTTGGCTGCAGCCCTGGTCTGCTCTCACGCCCCCGCGATCCGTCGTCTTCCGCGAGAGTATTTAAAATTCAAATATTAAATTAGCTTGGGCAAGTGCATCAGCAGCAATGGGAATGAGCTTGCCTGCTGCTGCTGCTCACTGATTTAGTAACATTTCAGGCGAAGCGTGCGACCCAAACGACGCCCCCATTTCATTGTTTTTTTTTTTCGCTATGTGGCACAAACACACACAATCGGAGTAAAGCACGGTTACAATGCGCATGTCGTTGTGTTGGAATGCCTGGTTGCCACAACAGAAGTGCTGTTGACTCCGTTCGGCTTTCGGGGGCTACAGGAGCCTACCTCCCTCCCCCATTAAGCCCGCTCGTGGCCCACGCTCCGTTTCCATTAATACGCGTGACGTTGGTGGCGCTCTTATTGATTTCCATGCGGTATATTTAGATGCGCAGTTAGCGGGCCACCGGTCCACCCACAGAATATACAAATGTATATATTCAAAGGTCTCGTCACTGCCACCGAGAGCGTCCCTTTCCATTCCATTCCAAGCCATGCCATCCCGTCCAGCAGCTGATAAGTCTGGCTCGGCGTAGTGACTCACGGCTATTTGGAGTGCAAAGCAGCGGTTCTGGGAACTTGTTTGGTCAGTTTTCGGTTGTGTTTTGTCTTTTTGCTAGTAGGAAAAAATCGTAAAATATCATTTGGCCAAAAATAATTTGAAAACGTCATTTCCTAGTATGTGATGTGTGTGAGTTTGTCTGCTAAAACAGCTGCGGTTCGAGAAATAGCACTTAATTATAATTGCTTTGATTGCAGTGATTATTTTGCCTTTATAATATCTATAACAAAACTATAGGCGACTCTTAACTGAATTAAGCTCAAAAATATAAAATAATGCCAAAACTACATACAAGAATTTACAAAAATATTACAGGTATATTATATTATATTTAAAACGAGAACAATATCCTAAAATTGACATTTTTAAAATTTCATGAACTGTTTGAATGATAAATCGATATAGTAATAAATGTAATCATCATCGTATAGAGTATCTATAATCTTGAGGACTAGTAATTTTGCCTTTGCTGTATCTTTTTATGCTACTTCTACCATCGCACGCTCTTTCGCAGCCTTATTTACCTATAAGAAGTTGCTTGAACTACCGTTAAGTCCGGCTAATTGGCTTTGCCCACAGCCGGCCGTCATGTGTAGTTGGCAACGCGGCTGTCCATCGCTTCTTATCAAGTACACGAGATATGCGTTCGTTTTTGCCGCTGCTGATTGTCGCTTTATGGCGTGCTATACCTGTGATTTGACCACCTTGAGTTGATTGAATTGGTCTTGCAATGCCAAAAGCAACACACAAGTCGCACTAATTATAGCAAAGCAACAACAGTGACTTGTTTTGTCTGATTCCATTTGGAAGCTTAGATTTCGCGATTGTCTGCCGAACGACCCTTGAACTTATTGATGACGAGTGCAGCTTGATTGCAGAGCTACCAACTTGTTGTACGCTCTGAGCTTTCCCAACAGCTTTTCGAGTATTATTATTTGTTGTCCCATTATTCGCGAGGTAAGAGAGCACACACACAAAAATTTGTGCCAGAAACTGAAAACTGCTCAACGCTTCTGATGACGGTAATGATGATGATGCTCCGTAGCAAAAAACAGAAAATAAAAGAATATAATGACTAGGCGAAAGATGAGCACAAGATACACATATACTGGTCCAAAAAAAAAAAAAAAAAAAAAAACGAAACAAACCTCAAGAAATGTGGGTGACTTGCCCTCCATGAGAATTCAAACGAAACTCGCTGGCATTTTTGGCATTTAACTTTTGCGAAACCAATTTCCTGTCTCCGGCACAGCAGTAATTCATCATTATACAGTCCTACGTCTATAACTTGAACTTTGAGAAGCTGCATATTCTCTCATTCTATTAAACTCTGCAAAATAAAAGTTGTTTATTATTTTTTTATGTTATGTTAAATTGAAGATCAATTCGAAACTTGTAATCATAGATAGTTCAAACTAGAAAACCCCACAGTGTGCATATATTTAACGCCTCTACCTCTTTCATTTGCAGAATTGCACGAATTGAAAGCGGTAAACCGAATCGAACGAGAGCAGACTAACAAGCCAAATCGGGGAACAGTATGAAAATGGTGTTGTCGCAACGGCAGCGCGAGGAGCTGTAAGTCTAATAATCCAGCCATCCAATTTTTATCTCTATTTATACTTGATTTTTCCTTTTTTTCCAGTAACCAAGCGATTGCCGATTATCTGGGCTCAAATGGCTACGCCGACTCTCTGGAGACCTTCCGAAAGGAGGCCGATATTAGCACAGAGGCAGAAAAGAAGTTTGGCGGACTGCTCGAAAAGAAATGGACGTCCGTCATCCGGCTACAGAAGAAGGTGATGGAATTAGAGGCTAAACTGACCGAAGCTGAGAAAGAGGTCATCGAGGGTGCGCCCACAAAGAACAAACGAACGCCCGGCGAGTGGATACCGCGGCCGCCAGAGAAATATTCCCTGACCGGTCATCGGGCCAGCATAACTAGGGTAAGTTTTTCTTGTTTACTTATTTATGGGTATAACTATTGGATTCCTTGATCATTTGCAGGTAATATTTCATCCCATTTTTGGGTTAATGGTCTCCGCATCCGAGGATGCTACCATTAAGATCTGGGACTTTGAAACTGGAGAGTACGAGCGCAGTCTCAAGGGACACACAGACTCGGTGCAGGATGTGGCATTCGATGCCCAGGGCAAGCTTTTGGGTAGGTTATACAACTTTACATATTTATATACAATAGTGAATGTAACTATTTCGTTTCTATGTAGCTTCCTGCAGCGCGGACTTGTCCATCAAATTGTGGGATTTCCAGCAGAGCTATGAATGTGTCAAAACCATGCATGGTCACGATCACAATGTTTCGTCGGTGGCCTTTGTGCCCGCCGGCGACTACGTTCTGTCCGCATCGCGAGATCGCACCATAAAAATGTGGGAGGTGGCAACAGGGTGAGTAGTAGAAGAAGCTGTGTTTGAAAGTAACTTGACCAACCTGTTGGTTTCTCTGTTCCCCCAGTTACTGCGTGAAAACCTACACAGGCCATAGGGAGTGGGTGCGAATGGTGCGAGTGCACATCGAAGGCAGCATCTTTGCCACATGCTCAAATGATCACACAATACGTGTTTGGTTGACGAATTCAAAAGACTGCAAGGTGAGTGAAAACAAGCTTCCGCTTGCTATGGAGTTAAATTAAATGTACATGGTCTTGTAGGTTGAATTACGCGATCATGAGCATACCGTGGAGTGCATTGCCTGGGCGCCGGAAGCCGCAGCCTCGGCGATAAACGAGGCAGCTGGAGCTGACAACAAGAAGGGCCACCACCAGGGTCCATTTCTTGCATCCGGTTCTCGCGACAAAACCATTCGCATTTGGGACGTCAGCGTCGGCCTTTGCCTGTTAACGCTGAATGGCCATGACAATTGGGTTCGTGGTCTGGCATTCCATCCGGGCGGCAAGTACCTGGTCTCGGCCAGCGATGACAAGACCATCAGGGTCTGGGACTTGCGTAACAAGCGATGCATGAAGACGCTATACGCGCATCAGCATTTCTGCACCTCCATAGGTAAGTCCTTCGCTTAAGCCCTGTACCTCAAAATACTTATTAATACTCCGCAATCTTTCATATTTTTTTCGCAGATTTTCACAAAGCGCATCCGTACGTCATTAGCGGTAGCGTAGATCAAACAGTTAAGGTCTGGGAATGTCGTTAAATTGAAAGGAACGTTCGGCAAAGGAAGGGTTCTTCTGCTTACTTCTCAATTTAAATAATAAATAAAGTTAATATATTGAATCACAACAGCCCACACACACACACACATACGAGCAGTCTCAGCCACCTACGCGAAGGTTTATTTTCTTAGACGCTTTCTGTGTCAGCGTCCGAATGCAAAATATAAACGTAATTGTATTTAAAATCTGAATGAATGAAACTGGCGAAAAACGAATTATTTATTTAATTGTACGACCCTCTAACTAAACTAACTAACTACCTACCTACTATATACAAAGTACATATACATTAATGCCTAATGAAATATACACCTACCTACGATTATCGTTTAAACTTTAAAGTAATGCCACGCCTCCTCCTTTACCAATCACAAGTACGCAGGCTCGCTAAGCGTAGGATTCGTCGCGAATGGAGAGAGTATTAATGCCGTTCATTCGACAAATACAGATCCATCCACAAAAATGTACCCAAGCACTCGCATAAACTTGAGAAATTCAATATCGCCGTGTTGATATCTTTAAAAGTGTTTGCTAACTTTGAATAATGACAGCAAATGATGGAAAGTATTTCAGTTACTTGGACAAAAACTTGTAATCACAACAAGAGCTTCATTATTGAGAATTAACTTCCTTTTTACCATAAGTTTGAGGTAATTTTACGATAACAACGATTTGCTTCATTTTTTTTACTCTACACTACGAGTCCCCCGAGTCCTGTTTTGTGTTCTTTTTTGTCGCGAAAGGATCTTCACACAAAAACAACAAAATCTATCAAAATGCTTACAAGTTTAAGTTGGCTTTAAGTTCAAAATATGATTTATTTTTACGGTTTACATAGTAGAAAAATGCTGCAAATTTAATTGTAATAGTTTGTTTAAGTGCAACCGCAAAAAATATACATATATAAATATTATACTATACAAATAATTATTTGTGGAAAAAAAACAAAAACAAAATGTTCATATAAATGTATGCGAAGAAACACCAGCAATTATAGAAAAGAATTTTTGGATTTAAAAGAAATCGAATTACGGAAAATCAATAAAAACTCGCTTCTTTAAGAAACCGAAAGAAAACTCAGAGAGCAGAAATGTTTGTAGTGGTGACGGACTGTTTATCGTCAAGGATTTAATGTAGAATCTTGACTATCTATATATTGCCTTCGATGTCAAATTTTGAAAGCATTTATTGTACTCAAAAATGCTACATTTGATGCACTTTATTTAACATAAGATATAGAAGCATGCACTAAACACACAAAACCACATACAAACTCGTTGCATACGTCGCAAAACCGCTTTTGTCTCAACCAGCTGCTTAAAATCGATGCCCTCAGATAGAAATAACCCGAAAAGATACTACTGGCGATGTGTAGAAATCGCTTAATATATATATATAACGAAAGTACTATAAATAAAACTGCAATTTGTTTTATTAATAACTAGATTGTGTATTTTTGAATCCTACGACTCCTTATTGTCTTGGTCATCAGAGTTGGCTTTGTCCGGCTTTTGCTCCTCGTTGTCAGCAGCTCTTTTGCACGATTCTTCTGTTTGTACTGGTTCCCGGTCGTTTGCCTCTGTTTTTGATGGCTCGCCGTTTGCATTCGTAGATTCCTTGGCTGCCTCCTCTGTCTCATCCTTTTCTCGAGCCTCTCCTGCAGCTTCCTCATCTTCCGAACCACTGTCACTGGACTCGGATACCTCCTTGGCTTCTGGCTTCTTCTGATCCCGCGGCTTCTTCGCCCGTTGCTTCTTCTTAAGTCGTTTGGCTCGCTTCTTGGCGGTTTTTTCTTCGGCCGCCCGACGATTGTCATCCAGTTTTTGCTGGTATGCATCGTCCGCTGCTTCACGGGCGCTCTGATTCTGTATGTTCTTCTGACGGGCGTACTCCTTCCGGCGCAGATGGCGGTAGACATGGAACTCGCCGGATCCCGCTCCAGCGCTGCTTCCCATAACGTTTCGCACAAAGCTGGGCACCGAGGACATGTAGTCCCGCTCCCGGCGCTGCTCAGGTATGACCACGGGCTTATCCTGGTCAATATAAAAATTAGTATTGTGTTGTAATTAACAAACTCATCCCAACTCACTGGATTCTTCATTAGCTTCTCCAACTTCAGCCGTTGCAGATCTGTGGCGGTTTTGACAAATGGTCGCAGGGGCTTGTCCTCGGAATCACTGCCTCCGGATCCATCATCCTTCTTCTTTTTCTTGGGCTTGTGCTCGGATTCTTTGACCAAGTTTTTTATTAGCGACATTATTTGTTGATTTTATGTTATTTGCGGCTGTTGTTTGTTTTGCTGAAAATACCAGTCCGCATGTCGCATTGCTCTGGTCACACTTTTTCTACTTTGAGAATCTGAATTTTCTTTGCGAATATATTGAATTAAATTAGTGTTTTTAATTATTGCGGGAAATCCATCAGTTTTCTTTAAGAAAAACATGAAAAAGTCCTTCATCCCCAGAGAGTTCCAACTTTTTAAAAGCCTTCAAATTTACGCCGCCAGTGTTCACACATCACAAATGGAAAAACTCGTCAAGAAATACCAACTCGCAGCTGGCGGCAGACTTCGTCATGCGGCATTTTCAAACTTTCAGCCGTAGGCCATACTCTCAGCCGTCAACACAACATAACGCGTTATTTTATAGCGGATCGGATCGGCCGAATATATATCCGAAAAATAGTTATTGTGTTGAAAATAAGCTTCCCAAGACCCATCTGTCAGCCAACGTCAGAAAGAATTTAATATCGTTCGCAGTTTACCCAAAAACACTTGAAATCGAATCCAAATCCCCAACTCGTTGAGCGGTTAGAGTTGTGTAACACGGACGGGCCCGAGAAAGCAGAAGAAACGTGAACTAGAACTAGAGCTCTGTGCCCGCTGGTTAGCTAAGCTTGTTCTCTGTTCGTTGGTTGTGTTTGTGGTAGAGGAGCAGCAGGTGACCGAGAGGAACGACGGTATCGACATGGCGCTAGAGACGGAAGCAAAGAACCCGAGTGCAGCGACAACAGCAACAACGGCGGCGACGGCGACTAAGGCCAAGGAGAACAACAATACGGTCGGCGGCAAAAAGAATCAGAATCCCAATCAGCAGAACCAGAACTTGGTCAATGGCAATGGCACGGCTGCCGACGGTCCCGCGGCGAAGAAGAAAGGTGCGTTCAACTCTCCGGACACGCCCCCCTCCTCCCTCTGGCAGAGCACCCCACCCATAACCCTCCACCCCCCACCCGCTACCATGGAGACTGCCTAAAATATTGTATTTGCCGCAAAACGCCAATCACATAACAATTCCCCCATTACGTAATGGATTTTTTCTCCCTATAATGCTTTAAAAGCGGCGCCCGCCATCTATTGCCGCCCCGTCCCCCTCGTTTCGCCCAAACCTCGCCCCCTGATACCGCGTGCGTTACAATTGCAAATGCAAGTGTATGTGTATTGGAGTTGAGTGCGTGCGGTGCAGCAGCAAGTGTGTGCGAGAGTGTGAGCGGCTCTCTGGCATGGCAACGCACATGTTGTTCACCCGGCGGCGATGTGTTCATTAACCCCCAGGGTGCCGAGGATTTCTTGTTGCGTTTAACCTACAATTAACACGTGCTTGGCCCGAACTGCATGCAGCAAACGCAAACACTAGCACGAATTGCTCGACAATTATGTAAATCATGTTTTCTATCCGCTGCGGGCGCATCACCGAAAAGAGAGCAATTTCTTCCTATCTCCCCATCGCGAGCTCTCTCTCTCGCCGTCAATGTACATTGCACTTATCACTTTTGCTTTCTCCCGCTCTCTGCCGGGATCTTTCTCTCGCTCTCTTTGCTGTAATTTCGTGTGTTGCTGTTGAAATTAGGAAGTCTGTGTGAAATCAATTTCCCAGTAGGAGAGATCGAAAGGAGATATTGGATTATTTTTCGTTCTAGGACCATACTCCCGAGTCCACATAAACGAACACCCGGCCCCTTTTGGCCTTATCAGCTCGCTTTTTTTTGTTTGTTTTTCTGCTGTTTTGTTTCGTGAGCTGCCGGCAAAGATACACACAAACAAACAAACACACACACACAAGCAGGCACAGTGACCCGCAGAAGTAAGCGAGCATGCGGTGTGGAATTGTTATGTAAATCGCGTTGAACGGAGTTTGGAATACCAGGAATTTTTATATTTCGATTTGTTCTCAGCTCTATGAGGTTGAATTATGTAAACGCACATTTATTTAGCACAATTTCATCATCTGCATATACAAATTATCACATAAAACTGTTGATAAATATTAAAATTTTAATACCCCTTTGAGGGTATTATAATTTCAGTCAGAAGCTAGTTAAACAGAGAAAGAGTCATTTCCGGCCCTATAAATCATATATATTCTTGATCAGCATTAACAGCCGCATCGTTTTATGCGTGTCATAAAAAAATTTTTTTTTGTAAATTTTTCAAAATTTTTTAAGGGGTTACATCGTTAAAATTTCAAAAATTAGCAAAATTTTTAAATTTTAAAAATTTTAAATACAGTATGCAGATTTATTAATAAAATAAAAACAAACATAGAACTGCTTTCCGAATTAAAATTAATGCATTTTTAGCATAGTTATTGCATTTTTAAGCTTTAAGTTTCCCAAAAATTATGATATAACATTTTATATGCTTTCCATTGCATTGGATTTTTCGGCATTGTTATAAACGCTTCCTGATTTATTTATTGATTTATTAAAACGGGTCTCTATAAAGTATGCTTCAATATTCAACGTGGTTTAAATCTCAACCCAAAAAAAATAGATCTTAGAGATACATATGCACATATTTACGATCTTAAAACGACAATACCCTGTGTACCCTATTACGAGCCTGTCTAAAATAGAAAATACCTAGGTAATGAAACGGAATTCTTCTGAAAAAACATTTAAATAATTCATCTCAGTGCAAATGTCGCCCTTTACAATACAGCTTTTAATGCCTATCTCGACTTTGACTTACAAATATATGTACATATCTTTGTTTTATCTGAAAAGGCAAGAAGAACCGAAACAAAAGTCCACCAGAACCAACTGCGGAGACCGTGGAAGCCGCTCTGAGCAATGGGCATGCCGAGAAGGCAACTGAAGAAGGTGACGCTGGTCAAGAGAGCGCCGATTCGAATGCCAATGTGGCAACTAATGGAGAAGAAAAGCCAGAAGGCGCCGTAGCATCCGGCGAGGGACAGGCGGAGACTGAGGACATCGACCTGGACGCTCTGCATGATGTGAGCATCACGGTTAACATCAGCAGCCCCGGAGCGGAAAACCTACTCGTGCAGCTATCGAGCATGGAGTTGGTGCAGGAGATTCACCAGCTGCTTATGGATCGCGAGGAGACCTGCCACCGAACCTGTTTCTCGCTGCAGCTGGACAACGTGACCCTGGATCACTTCGCCGAGCTGAAGACTATCGAACACCTAGAGCAGGGCTCCACCATCAAGGTAGTGGAGGAGCCATACACGATGCGGGAGGCCCGTATCCATGTGCGCCACGTGAGGGATCTTCTCAAGAACCTGGATCCCGCTGATGCGTACAATGGCATCGATTGTAACTCGCTGACATACCTAAACACGATCACTCAGGGCGATCTGCTGGACAAGAAGAAGACGCGGCCCGACTCTGTAGATTGCACACCGCCGGAGTATGTTACTCCGGGCGTGTTCGAGCCACCACTGCTGCCACTGCATCCCAATGTAAAGAACGCCAAGGGGCCTCAGGCCCTTAAGGTGCTGACCACTTCCGCCTGGAATCCTCCTCCCGGTCCCCGCAAGCTGCACGGCGACCTCATGTATCTGTACGTCGTCACAATGGAGGACAAGCGCTTCCACATCTCTGCCTGCTCCAAGGGCTTCTACATCAACCAGTCGACGGACGACACCTTTAATCCAAAGCCCGAAAACCCCAGTCACCTCAGCCACTCGCTGATCGATCTGCTGTCCCACATATCGCCCTCGTTCCGCCGTGCCTTTCAGACCATCCAAAAGCGTCGCACCATGCGCCACGCTTTCGAGCGGGTGGCCACGCCCTATCAGGTGTACCAGTGGGCCTCGCCCGTCCTGGAGCACACCGTGGACGCCATTCGTGCCGAGGATGCCTTTAGCTCCAAGTTGGGGTAAGTGTCTCTTCCGGAGATCTCATTTTAAGTTTCAGCTTGGTTTTAGTTCTTACTAATGACCCATTGCCATACTCTTGTATTGCAGCTACGAGGAGCACATCCCAGGACAGACGCGCGACTGGAACGAGGAGCTGCAGACGACACGGGAACTGCCACGCAAGACACTGCCAGAGCGCTTGCTGCGCGAGCGTGCCATCTTCAAGGTGCATGGTGACTTCGTGACCGCTGCCACGAGGGGCGCCATGGCTGTCATTGATGGCAACGTGTTGGCCATCAATCCCGGCGAAGATTCCAAAATGCAGATGTTTATCTGGAACAACATATTCTTCTCGCTGGGCTTTGACGTAAGGGACCACTACAAAGAGCTGGGCGGGGACGCAGCGGCCTTTGTGGCCCCACGATACGATCTGCATGGTGTCCGTGTCTACAATGCCGTGGACATTGAGGGTCTTTACACGCTGGGAACGGTGGTAATCGATTATCGTGGCTACCGCGTCACAGCCCAGTCTATAATACCCGGCATCCTAGAGCGGGAGCAGGAGCAGAGCGTGGTCTACGGCTCCATAGACTTTGGCAAGACGGTGCTGAGCCATCCCAAGTACTTGGATCTGTTGCGACAGGCGGGCAAGCACCTAAAAATTCTGCCACATGCTGTACTCAACGAGCGGGACGAGCCCGTGGAGCTGTGCTCCTCAGTAGAGTGCAAGGGCATCATCGGCAACGATGGCCGGCACTACATTCTGGATCTGTTGCGCACCTTCCCGCCAGATGTGAACTTCCTGAAGCTGCAGGATGTCCAGCTGAGCAAGGAGCTGGTCGATATGGGCTTCCCCATCGAGCATCGCCACAAGCTTTGCTGCCTGCGTCAGGAGCTGCTGGAAGCCTTCATCGAGGACAGGTATGTAAGCTTCATCCGGATAGCAGCCGTGCACCTGCAGCAGCTGAATGCTACGAAGCAGTCTGAGAAGTCCGACGAGGAGAAGCCAGTGCCAGCCTTGGAGGGAGCGGAGAAGAAGGCCAAGGAGAACGGAGCCGAGAAACCAGAGGAGGAAGCTGCAGAGGAGGAAAAGAAGGAGCAACCCACTGCCGGCGCCACAAAGTCGGCCGAGGCCATGGTGAACGCTATCCGGGAGGCGCAGTCCAATGTGGCCACCTCAAACGAAGTGCAGGCCGCCGAGGTGGTCAAGAGAGCGTGCGCAGCAGTCGGGTCCCTGAAGGAGAAGGAATTCGACTTCCGTTTCAATCCCGACGTCTTCTCGCCCGGCATTCGCCATGTGGACGGCGAGGAGGGCACCTGCAGCTCGCTGGCCAAGCAAAAAGTTCTGGTCCAAGACGCCGCCGAGTTCCTAGTTGTCAAACAGATACCCGCCTTCATCAAGGAGCACCTGGCCCACGCCTCGGCGCCAATAGACGGTCAAAGTCTGACCGAATCCCTGCACAGTCATGGCATAAATGTGCGCTACTTGGGCAAGGTTATCAAGCTACTTGGCCAGATGCCGCGCATGGACTACTTGTACAGGATCGCCATTCTTGAGCTGATCGTGCGGGCCACCAAGCACATCTACTACACCTACATGCAGAATACGGAGCCGCTGCACCTGTCGGCCGCCATCAGCCACTTCCTCAACTGTCTGCTGACCAGCGGACCAGTCAATCCTGCCGTGAGCAGCGAGGAGGCGCACAAGAAGCGCGGCAATGGAGGCAAGCACAACAAGCACAAGTCCTCGAAGGGTGGCAAGGGCCAGCAGCAGCAGCAGCAACCGGCGGGTGGCAACCAGAATGGCAACTCGACTGGTACTAGTTCCACTGCCTCGGCCGCCTCCGACTGGACGCTGGTGACGCCCCGTTCTCTATGGCAGCAGATACGGCGCGAGGCCAAAGCCTACTGGGACTGGGATCTCGACTGCGACTCCATGGAGAGTGCAACGACCAAGTTCGGCATCCTGCGGATCAGTCTGCTGCGCGCTTTCTGCCTCAAAGTGGGCATCCAGGTGCTGCTGCGTGAATACAACTTCGAGTCCAAGCACAAGCCCACCTTCGGGTCCGATGACATTGTCAACGTGTTCCCAGTGGTGAAACACATCAGTCCACGGGCCACGGACGCCTACAACTTCTACACGACGGGCCAGGCCAAGATCCAGCAAGGCATGTTCAAGGAGGGCTACGAGCTCATTAGCGAGGCCCTCAATCTGCTGAACAATGTCTTTGGGGCGATGCACCAGGAGAACGGTTCTTGTCTGCGAATGCTGGCCAGGCTCAGCTATCTGCTAGGCGATGCCCAGGATGCGCTGGCCATCCAGCAGCGGGCGGTGATCATGAGCGAGCGCGTAAACGGCATTGATCATCCCTCAACCATTTTGGAATACGTACGTAGGACTCGGACATCCACAAGAGGTTTAGTAATCTTCAACAAATGTTTTCCTTGCAGACACATTTATCCCTCTATTCATTTGCCAACGGACATGTGGGCATGTCCCTGAAGCTGCTATACCGAGCACGCTACCTGATGGTGCTCATCTGCGGCGAGGATCACCCGGAGGTGGCCCTGATCGATGTAAGTTTAACTTTGACTGGCTTTCTCCTGCCCTACTGATGTCTTTTATTGTTTATGGCAGAGCAACATTAGCTTGATTTTGCATGCCCTGGGAGAGTACGAGCTGTCGCTGAGATTTATTGAGCACGCCCTCAAGCTAAACCTCAAGTACTTTGGCAACAAGGCCATGCACGTGGCGGTCAGCTATCACCTGATGGCCCGCACACAGTCCTGCATGGGCGACTTCCGCTCGGCGCTGAACAACGAGAAGGAGACCTACTCCATCTACAAGTCACAGGTGAGGTATGCCTTGACATTCCATGAAGCTTTAGGTAATGATTTCTTTTTTTTATAGTTGGGCGAGAAGCACGAAAAGACTAGGGACTCGGCCGAGTGCCTGAGGCTGCTGACCCAGCAAGCTGTCCTGCTGCAGCGCAAGATGAACGACATCTATTCCAACGGCAAGCTGACCACCGACCTGCCGCCCATTCACATCACTCCGCCCTCGATGGGCTCTGTGCTGGACATGCTGAACACCATCAATGGCATACTGTTTGTGCAGATTAGGTGAGGCAAGGATTTAAATTAGCTTATATTCTAGCTGACTTAACCCTTTCTCATTCCCTGAATACAGCCAAAAGGACATTGTCAAGGTGCGCAGCGAAATTGAGAAGCATTTCAAGGCCAATAGCGCCGAGAACGAGGTGAACGATGCCATCAAGTCCATTGTGGCTGCTGCCAACAACAATGGCGATATTGAGGGTGAGGTTCCGAAGGAGCAAGCGGCAGCAACGAATGGCGAGGAGGCGCCAGCAGCTGCTTCAAGTTGAACAACACTCCAGAGGCAAAGTTAAAGTTGAAGTCATCATCCCAACAAAAGTCACAAAAGTTTGCCGCCTGTTCTGTTGCCTTGTCTTACGTCGTATATTTGGGACTGAGCTAAATTAGGGACAAGCAGCAGGTGGGCTTTCAACAACAACATCAAGGACCCAGCAACTGCAAAATCTACAACTAACTAACAACGCAATAAAAGAACATAATTGTTTATGTTTTTCCTCGAAGGCTGCTCTTGTACTGCTCACATAGACACACACACACACACACATCGCATGGAATACACCTAGAAGGCACCTATCTACATATATCCACTCTAGGATATAACTTAGACTTAGTCAAGGCAAACTATCTACCCAGCATCATCCTAATCCAGCGACAGAGAGCTCTGTCAATGTTTCAAGACGAGGAATATAGTCTATAGCTCATACACACATACGATATATGTTTTGTTAACCATTTGCAAGCCCGTCAAATGCCTTTTATAGTTTGTAATAAGCATTGTTTTCTGTTGAATCAACTTTACAACGAGTGCAACCACATATTTTACACACATAGTAACGTTAAGGTGCGCCCCAATTGGAACAAGAAGAAATATTGAATGATGATTACGTTTTTGTTATACAACTATCATATAAAGATATATATGCATATATATATATCACAAAATATATACTATATACACATGTAATGCATACATTTTTGGGTCCTTCGCTCGCAAGGACATTTAATCATGAAAAAAAATGGTTTTTTATTATTCAAATGGTCGACGAAATCGGCCGATCAAATAAAAATTAAGAAGCTGCCAAAAGTGGACTTTGTGTGGTTTGGAAAAAGTGGCAGTTTAATATGCTAAACTTAAACGATAACTTATAGATAAATGGGTTATAGGTGGGGGATATTACAGTAAAACAATACTGGAATGAACATAAAGTCTAAAAAATGCAGTTTTATATTCTTAAAGGGTGCTCCTGCCGCTGTCTACTTTCGTTTCCTGCACTTGTTGCGTCCCTTTCGCCTCCTGCCCGGCGTTTTGTTTGGCGATTTGCCATTTTTCGCCGCCGCCGCCGCTTGCTGCTGCTGGGCCGCCGTCTTGGGCGTTGTTCCACCCGCTCCGCCAGCATTGGAGCCTGCGGCTGCGACATTGCTCTGCTTATTTATCCGGTTAGCTGCGCCCTGGCCGCTGACCTTTTTCGAGGGCAGTAGATGCTGACTAACCAGCTCGCCCAGGACACCTTGGTGTGCCAGCATGGAGAGGAAGGTGCAGATGAACTTGTCGTAGTTGTGCGTGCGCCGACTGGCGTCCACCTTGAACATGTGTCGTCGGTCGTTCTCGTCGGCCAGATGCTGCTCGTTAATGGCAATCTCGGTGTCCAGGTTCTTCAGCAGCGACTGCAGATCCCGGGCAGTAAATGCACTCGGCTCCAGCAGCGTGGTGGGTGTGTCCGGGCGTTGGGAGTCGCCGTTGCCAGACTCTCCCGCCTCGTCCGCCTTCAGCAGCTTCTGTAGGGTTCCCGAAACAATGGCCTGATTGGTGCGCAGCATCTTGAGCTTGTGAGTTATGGCGATTCTCCGGTCAGGCACTACGGCCATCAGGTTAAAGCGTATATCCTGTTCTCCAGTGGCGATTCCCAGGCGCTCTGCCATCACACGTCGAAATTTATCCGTCCAGTCCTCGTTGTCCTCCCATCCGCCATGATTCATAGGATAGGGCTTCAGGCCGTCCAGCTCGAACAGCTGTCCGTTGATGGGCACAAAGCTGACAAAGTGAAATGCCTCGCCGGTAAAGCGGCAGCTGGAGACACCGGCTCCGGTCCGCTCCAGGCGGCGCCGGGCCTGCGGCATGGCATGCGAATTGTGGGCGCATGCCAGTTCCGGAGTGTTGCCAATGGCCAGACCCTTGTTCTCTGGACTCATGCCCTTGGTGTGGGCCTTCAAGCGACTAAGGGTGTCGCCCAGTTGCAGATTGTTTTCATTGCAGTTTAGGAGAACGGAAAGCAGGGCGTGAGTAGCACAGCTATTGGGCACCACCTGCTGGGCGAAGAAAATACTGGAAATGGCCTCTTCGTCCTTCACAAAGATCTCTGCGGTGGTTTCCACAATCTTGCGCCTGGCCCGTCGCTCTTCGATCCAGCGAAAAAGGAAAATAAAGCCATAAGGACTTTCTATGGGCTTCTGCAGATCATACACCTCCTCCACTTGAACATCGTGACCTGGCAATGAGGGAAGCTATTTAGTTGGTTGGAAGAAAGATAGGAGTATCACGTTTTACAGCCAAAATCCTCCAGCAGAAGGGTAAAGAGACCCGGATCGGACTCCAGCTCCAGCCAGCCGTCTGCTAGCTGGGCCATCGGCATGGTGGTTGCTCCGGATGTTGCCGCCAGGAGGGAGTTGTTGGTGACATTGCTAGCGGTATTGCTGGCCGCGGATGCCATTTGGGGCCCAGTTCCGCCTCCAGCTACGTTCATTTCCTATCCCTCGTAAGAGCAGGTCCAATCCAAACTGAGAAGTTGTGCTTACTTTAAGCTATAAGCAAGTTTAGAGCTGTTAGAATACAAGTGTTAGGAAAAGAGCCGGTATAAATGAAAATAAAGCGTAATTATGAAGATGGCTTTGCTTTTTTTACAACAAAGAATAGACAGACTTTCGAGGAAAATGTAGGTAACCGAATAAGAGCTTACGTTCTTCTGCACGTTTTAAGAGCTCCTGAGCTTCAGAAAGTTCCTTACTTTTCATAATTCATGTTTAATTTTAACAAAAACAGTTTCCAACAATTTTTTTCAGCTAAGAGTGTGACCGTTGCAAAAATTTTGATTTTACCCTAACGCGTCGTGTGGGAATTTTATCCTCTACAACGGAGCGTCAACGTTTCCCGGCGAATATCTCTGTCGGGGGTTTATAATCAGCTGTTTTATTGACGTAACTTTTACTTTTACTCGAATCGTAACTAAATTGTGCTTTATAGAAATGGTTCGACCCTCTCTCGTCGTGCATATGGCCAAGCGAGTGCCCCTCATCCAATTCCGCAAGGGCGGCGGTGGAGCGGCGGCTGGCGCCCAGTCCGCAAACCAGCAGGCAAGTTCCAAGCCAGCGGAAGGCAAAAAGGTTAACTCTTTCAGTTCATTTACTACATCGAATTATCCTTCATTTGGTGCAATTAACTAATTACATTCCTGATTTATCCAGTTGGCTGGCGGTCCCGCCATCGAGGATTACGAATTGCCGGCCCGCTTTGCACGCAAGCCCATCGACCCGGAGGAGGCGGAGTACATCAACAACGGTGGACCGCCGAAATAAGCAACTAGTGTCCCCCGCTTGTATAATAAAATTGTGTTGAAACTCATATTGTCACTGCTGAATTAGCAATCGCCACCCACCATCATATATCACCCATGTTTAGTGTTAATTATTCAAAACAGAATTAAACTACAACAAAATCGAGCCGCCGAAATTTTAAATCCAAGAATCCCTAGCTCGCTGTGATAATATTCTTCAGATAAGGAACTGTGAATAATCCATTTTCGCTTGTGATTAGTTTAATTCCTGTTTTTAGGCTGATAAATGTTTTCATTTAAAATTATTAGCCGATTCTGTGTGAATGTCAACGAAACTTAAACGTTCGTCGAAAAGCATGGCAACGCTAGACCAGTGGTGCTGCCAGACTCTACGATTTTGAGGTCTCTGCTAGGCGTACCTCTTTTTTTTAATTTTAAACTATTTCTAAAAATTAAAGAAAAGTATTAAATTAAATTTAAAAAATAAATTCAGCTTTAAATTTTACCGAAAGCCCACTACCCAGCTATTAAAAATCCAGATTCGACTGGCACGCAAAAGCTTTTACTAAAATGCAGCCCTGGTCATACAAAGGCGAAATATAAAAACTCAAATTTTCTACTTGCTCCAAGTGAAACGGACGTGCTTTTCCCACACGCGAACGAACGTCTCCGCTTATTTGTTTGTGCTCCAGCCCCGCCGCCGCCGCCCGCCAGCGATCGACCCCCCGCCCGTCCGCGTGCTTCGTCGCGAACAAAGAGTGGAAAATTTCCGTGTCAGCTGAAAGCGAAATCCCTTTGGCGTTTATCGGGCCGGGAACACAGGGTTTCTAGCGGCCCACCTCCTCCCCCCAACCGGATCGGCTTCGTCCCCCCACCTGGATGGGTGTGATTCGTCGTAGTATGCAAGAGAACTGCGTCAACAAGGACTGTCTGGGTCTCCGCAAACGTGTCTGTGGTCTGCACCAAACCTGGAAGTGGCTGCACCAGACGCCCGCCCTGCACGAATATCTCATCTCGAACAGCTCCGTGGCTGCAAACACAACGCGCATCAGCGAGCCCGCAGTCTAAAGTCCACGCCCAGACCGACCAAAGCCATCTAAACCAAAACGATTAACGTAGAAGATAAGTAGACCCCACACACAACACATAACCTAAAGAAGAGCGCACAGACAGACAGCAAGAACATCATCAGCTGGCCATAAACCCGTCCCATCAAGAGCTTTTGCCGACCGACACACCGTTGACCTTGTTTCGCTTGCAAGTGCATTGCGCCGCTCTCGTCGGAGCTCACCAGCACCTGGCAACAGACCCAACGCACACACCTTCACTTCCTTGTGAGAGCAATCCGAGATGAGCGTGCTCTTGCGTCGCAATTCCAGCCAGCTGAGGCTGCTGCTCTCGTCCGGCGGCCAGGTCACGCGCCTCGCCTCCACCGAGGGTAGCGGACAGCCACCAGCACCGGCTGTTGCCAAGCAGGAGGCAAAGAAGGCCCAAAGCAAACGGCAGCCGCCGCCCGTGGTGCCCGATTCGGAGATCAAAAAGTCTGTGTTTATCTCACAGTCTAGCGATGTCTTCACCAACTTGGCTCTGGAGGACTGGCTGTACAAGAACTTTGACTTTAGCCATCATCATGTCCTGCTGCTGTGGGCCAACGATCCGTGCGTGGTAATCGGCCGACACCAGAATCCCTTTACCGAGGCCAATGTCTCCCGGTTGGTGGAGCGCGGCATAACGCTGGCCCGACGCAACAGCGGCGGCGGAGCTGTATACCACGATCTGGGAAACCTCAACTGCACGTTCTTCTCGCCGAGAGAGCGATACGATCGCAAGTACAACCTGAACATCGTGACCAGGGCCTTGTTCCGCGAGTGGGCCATCAAGGCGGAGATCAATGAGCGCGACGACATTGTTGTGATGAACAAGAAGGTGAGCTGGAGGGACGGAGGGAAAGTGCGATTGACTGGCTGTTATCAGTGATCAGGGATCAGGCGACCCCTCTTGCTGGCGTCAGTCCACTAAAATAGCAGCTGTCCGCTGCGCATCTGGTCTTTGTTTAACCGAGTTTTGCCCTTGGTCTCGTTTACAGATTTCCGGAACCGCCGCCAAGTTGGGGCAACCAAACTCGTACCACCACTGCACCATCCTGGCTAGCGCCAACAAACTGCATTTGGGCGAGTCTTTGGTGCGGGAGAAAGCCAACTATATAAGTCGGGCCACTGCTTCGGTGCCGTCGCCTATTCGCAATCTGGTGGATGTGAACCGCACGGTGAATGTGGCTCAGCTGCGCTCCGCCGTCGGTTACGAGTATCTAAGAACGGCCGCCACCACTCTGGAGGATGGCGGCAGTGCCCAGACCATGAAGCAGCGTGGCTTTCAGCTCATCAATCCCACCGAGAAGTGGTTCCCCGGCATTGAGGAGCTGCGCGCCAACTATAGCTCCTGGGATTGGGTCATTGGCAAGACGCCCAGCTTCACGGTGGAGAAGGATCTGGAGGTGAAGGGTCATGGCGAGGACATGAAGCTAAAACTGAGCGTGGAAGTGGAGGGCGTAAGTTCTTGGACTTAATCTTGCTTAAATTATATAATTAATGTCTTCGGCTTCTAGGGACTGATGAAGGAGATTGGCTTGCAGTTGCCGCAAAGCGAGCAGCTTGTACCGGTGGTGACTCCCCTCCAGGGCAAGCCCTACAACGAGGAGAACCTCAATGGAATCCTGGGCGCCTTGAAGCTCGTCAACGCTTCGAATGTGAAGCAGGCCATTAATGGCACGGCTTGATTATTACTGTTGTGTTAGCTCAAAGAAAAGCTTACAAAAAAAAAAAGAAAGAAAATATATATCCCTTATGTAGTTTTGCTAACATAGACGTAGTCCTTCCTTCCAAGAAACCATATTACTAATATAGTATTTAAGCGTATTAAACAACAACCATATATACTTTTGTTAACCCGTTTTGTATAAAAAGAACTGCAATAAAATGTTGAAACATTTTTACATTTTACAAACACGAGCGAAGAGCGAGGATCGTTTAAAAAAGAGACTGATTTTTATTTCGATTAACCAATAATAAAAACAAAACGGATTTGTAAACATGAATACAAAGTAAACTCGATTTAAGGCACAATTCTTGGCTATCTTTTGACACAAATTTGTATATGTATATATAATGTAGATTACAGACTATAAAAATGTTTGGAGGGACTCGCTGAATACTAGGACACGGGGTATACATAACAAGTGTGATCTGCGAGTCCCTTTAATACGACACAAATCGGAATAGAATAGAGCCATTCTAAACGTGATAATTGCACTCGGGGGAAACGGACAGGGAACAAGCTTAGATGTGAACCGTTTGCACCAATTCCGGCAGGTTCTGGTAATCTGGATCGCGGGCAAAGAACTCCATGAGATACGCAAAGGTGGGCCGGTCTTTCGGCCGCTCCTTCCAGCAGCTCTGCATCACCGCATAGATGTAGGCTGGACACAGACTCGGCTGCGGCAGTCGCTCGCCACTGTCCACCAGCTTAATGGCATCCACATTGGATATTTCCCCGTATGGCGGAGCTCCAAGCGCAAACATCTCCCAAATGGTCACGCCAAAAGACCACACATCGCTGGCGTGCGAGAAGATGCCCAGGTTAAAGCTCTCCGGGGCATACCAGCGGATGGGCCAGCGGCCGCCTTGGGTGAATTGGTACTCGGTGCTGCCGGGCCTCAGTGATCGTGACATGCCAAAGTCACTGATCTTGGCCTGCTGCCGGGCGGTCAGCAGTATGTTCCTGGCGGCCAAGTCCCGGTGCACAAAATGCTGAGATTCCAGATAGTGCATGCCTGTTCGTAAAAGGTTCTAAGAATTACAAAATCTCTAGTTACATCTTCTCCTCTCTGCACTCACCACACGCCACCTGGGATGCCCAGACTTTAAGCTCCGAATTGGCGCTGATCTCGGCACCATGATCCAGGATATACTGCAGCATTGAGCCCAGTGGAGCCAACTCTTGCACCATCATCAGCATCTCGCCCTTGGAGATTCCTATCAGACGAACAATGCACTTGTGCTCCAGCCGCATCATCACGGAGGCCTCGCGCAGAAACTCCTGCTTGTTGCTGTGCTCGTCGCTGAGCATCTTTATGGCCACTTCCACACGTGTCTCCTCGCCAGAAGCAGCGCTCTTCCTCATCAGCCAACCGCTGTGCACGGATCCAAACTCGCCGTGGCCAATCTCGCTCTCCAAGACCAGATTCTCTGGTTCTATGAAGAACCTCAGCTTGGCCGCCTCCAAGGCGCTGGATGTGGGCGTGGTCGGGGTACCACTGCACTTTCTCTGCAGATAACTGGCCATCTCACTCTCCGTGGAGCCTGTGGAAATGAGCGAGTTAAGCCGCGCTGCAGCTGGAGGCTTGATCATCTGCTGATCCCAAACCGAGAGTACGTCCACTGTGGGCTGATACCCATTGACGCCACCACTCTGGACAGCGCGCTCACGCTCAATGGCGACATCGCTCTTGGTGAAATACTCAACTTCGGCTTCAGTCTTTTGGGCAATGGGCGGCAGGTCCATCTCGATGGGTGTGTTGTTCCTGGGCACGTTGTACAGCTCCCCGCTGGCCGGAGCCACTACCAGGCCGCCGTCCGCATTGAAAGTGGAGAATTCCGTGGAAAATGATAGGCTTTTCAGCATGGGAGCAGCTGCCTGCAGCTCTTGCTCCGTCCTGGCCAGAGATCCACTCACGCTGCTCTCGGATTCGCTACGCTTGCCCTTGGACTTGCTCTTGCGCAGGCTGTTCATGTCGAAGAGCGCCTTCTTGGGGCTGGTCAGGCGCAGGGTGTTGAACATGGAGCTGCTGTTCTCCTTCTGCTTCTTTTTAGCTATGGTCAGGGCGGGCACATGCGGATGACCATGATGATGGGGGGAATGGGCGTGGGGAGACACGGGCGTTGGTGGCGTTGCTGGCGGTGTGGTTCTTGGCTTCACCGAGGAGCGTGGTATGGTGGCAAACGAGGGCACCTCCGGCTTGGGCTGCGGCGGCACGGGAAACTTGAGGCTCACTGGCAGTCCGTAGGAGAAGCGCATAAAGTGCGATATCAAATGCTCCAGGCTGGGCCAATAGGGACCGTCATCGATGTACAGAAACTTGGACTGCAAAGGAGAGGAGTATTCATTAGCTTCCATCGATGTTTCTCCACCTCTATTACTCACCCCTCCAGACTGCAATTTGACACCGTTCTGGTAGAGATCTGCCTGCGAGATACGAAAGTTCTTGACCATTTGGTCGCTGCTGAGCAGGGTTAGAACCAATCCGGAGGCCGCCGGTGACTCAGAGTAGCGAACCAAAAAGCATCCAGAGGTGTCCAGTTGGGGTTGGCTCGCCAGCAGCTCCTGGGCATGCTTTTTGAGTATGGCAACGGCCTCGTCTCGGGTCAGGGTGCCGTGGTACCACTGCTCCCTGGTGGTACTTGCCGGTGGAAGCTTGTAGTTCATTAGGAACTCTTCCACAGAAGTTTGACCCGCCTCCTTGGCCAGATCAAAGGGGAATTCACCCGAGCTAGTCCTTGGCAGCGGCGGAGCCTCGGCTAATAGCAGCTCCTGTACAGCCTCCAGGTTGCCGTGCTTGGCTGCCTCATGCAGCGGCACATAGCCGTTTTCTATATTCCTGCCCTGGACATTGGCCTGAGCGGCGATAAGGGTGCGTATAAAGCTGGCCGGCTTAGAGCGAGCTGCGTACTAAAGGGGAATGAGATTATAACAAACGTACTCACAGACTTGAGTAGAGGATGACTCACGTGCAGGGGCTGGCAGCCAAAGGAGTCGGAGCTATTGACTTGGACCTTGGCATTGAGCAGGTGCTTCAGGATGTCCTCGTCCGAGTAGAGGGCCGCCAAATGCAAAGCCGTCTGGCCATCCTGGTTCTTGGCGTCAAAGTTGCGGTAGCCACACTTGAGCAGCTCGAAGACCACCTTGCTCTCGTTCTTGGCGGTGGCACGGTGCAGCAGATTGGTCACTCCATGGCTGCGGGTGTTGTGCGGTGGCGGGTCTCGTATTAAAGGCACTGTCAGCTTGGTGGGCAGCCCATTGGCCGCCTGTTGGTAGTAGTCGACCAGTGTGTCCAGGCCATGCAGAATCTTTGTCTGCACCTTGTCGTCGATGGAGAAGAAGGCATCCTCCCCGCCGTGTCGCCGCACCTGGTAGTGGCACACCTCCTCCTGGCACAGTAGGCTCAGCACAAAGTCACCAGCCGCCGTGCTGCTCTCCCGGACCAGGAACGTTCCGTCCTCGTAACCTGTTGATTATTGCCACAAGCAATTACAATTCATTAGGCCTCGCTCCCTCCACCACGCCCACATAGAGGGGATATGCTGCGAAAACAGCACCTAATCCCCAATACTTGCCTTGCTTGAGCAGATCGTCGGCTGCCTCGCGGGACAGGCTGCCGTGGTACCACTTCATAGGATCAGAATCGCGACTCATTGTTGGCCCATTTGTTTGAAATTCTCGACTATTTGTTAATTCCGAGATATCTTTTGGGTTTACTGCGCGTGCAGTGTGGCCGTTGGCTCTTGTGGCACTGATCACCGTCCGGTGGGCAGTCCCAGGGCTGCAGCAATAGCAACATCGAGTTGGCAGTCCCATAGATTTACAGCTGACGATCTAAGGGGATTTTTTTTAAATGTTTATTGTGGATCTTTATTGCTTTAGTTAAACTAGATTAAAGTTCGCCTATGCACTGAGTCATAGTTAAATATAAACTTGCTTAAACATTGCAGGCAAAGCAAAGTGTGGAAAGAAAGCTAGACATTTTTGCTAGTCTATAAACATTTTTATACCCTTGCAGGGTATTATAATTTCAGTCAGAAGTTTGCAACGCAGTGAAGGAGACGTTTCCGACCCTATAAAGAATATATATTCTTGATCAGCACCAACAGCCGAAAATTTGTCGAAAATTTGGATTGGTGCTGTAGGAAGGTTGTTGTAATGGGGTTGTTGTTGCAATCAAATGGTTGTGCCGGCGGTAAAAGGGTATAAATGCATAAAATAAAATATAAATGTTTATATCAGTTATATAGTTTATACCAATTATATATTAAATAAATAAATAAATATTTAAATTAAATATTTTTTATTTTCTTAAATATTAAAATTTTTAATTAACGGGGGAAATAAATAATAATTTAAGTCGCAACTGAAGCTAGAGAAATTAAAAATAATTACAGCAGCCCATTAAAATTTTCAACAATTTCTATGCAATTTGGCCGTTTCTCAAATTGGGGTACCAGGCGAACAGAAACCAGCAGCAAGCAACTGAAAACTGTTATAAAAAGTCCAAGTTTCGAACCATTTAGGAGCAAGCGAAAGTAACGGCTGTTTTCCCAAAATGCAACTCTGGGCAGGCAGCTCAGAGAGGGATAGCAAGTGTCCAGAAAAGAAGAGAGCAGACAACACAGAGTTGTATTTTGGGGAAGAAGCCAGGTTTGAGTCTCCGCTGACAGTCGCTTGCTCCCATAAGGTTCGAAACTTGGACTTTTTATAACAGTTTATACCAGTTTTCAGTTGCTTGCTGCTGGTTTCTGTTCGCCTGTTACCCCAATTTGAGAAGCAGGCAAATTGCATGGAAATTTTCGGAAATTTGGATGGTCTGCTGTAGGGATGTTGTTGTAAAAAGGTAAGCTGTTGTTGTCGGCAACAAATAGGTATAAATGCATAAAATGAAATATAACAGTTTATACCAATTATTATTTTTTGCTCAAAAGTTTTTATAACAGTTTATACCAGTTTTCAGTTGCTTGCTGCTGGTTTCTGTTCGCCTGTTACCCCAGTTTGGAAAGCGGCCAATTTGAATGAAAAGTTTTGCTCACTTGCATCAGTGATGCTCATCTGCATCAGTGATGCTCATCTGGCTATTTTGCAATTTTGGGACAAAATGGCATCTCTCTAACTGCCAGTGATGCTCAACTACCTATTTTGCATTATTTGCATTTATTTCTCACTAACTGTCAGTGATGCTCATCTAGCTATTTTGCATTATTGGGACAAAATGGCATCTCTCTAACTGTCAGTGATGCGCATCTAGATATTTTGCATTATTTGGACAAAATGGCTTTTCACTGCCAGTGATGCTCATCTAGCTATTTTGCTTTGATGTTTCTTTCATTTTCCACCGCAAGAATACCCTTCCATTGAGCCTGTTTTAATTATCCCACCCAAAAAAAACCGCATTCTCCTCATAACTCAAAAATAACACATATTTTAAGGTTTATTATTTATTTCAGCTTTAAGGGGGTCTTCTCATTGGGCAACTTTTTTTTTCGATTTTTTTTTTTTTGCATTTATTTATATCTTGGGATGGTGTGTATATGTCCCCAAAAGGATTTTTAGAAATTCGAAATACTTTAGAAGATACAGCCTTTTTGTGAAGCAAGATCTATGCAAAATGAGCTTTTTTCAAACTTCAAACGCGTTTATCTCGAAACCACGTTTTTCGAACTGGCGGCCATGATATCTCCAGTTCAACTGAACCGATTTTCATGAAACAAAGTGGAATCGACGCAGAATTGTCACCATTTTCGGCTGACGGAACAGATTTTTTTTTAATTTTTTTTTCTTTTTTTTTTTACATTAAACTACAAAAAAAACGCCCGAAATCGAATTTTTTTTTGAATGGCCGCCATTTTGTTTTAAAAATTTTTAAAAAAAATCTGTTCCGTCAGCCGAAAATGACATCTATTCTGATTATAACCCCGTTTATATTTTTCATTTCGGACGCTCTGGAGACCCTGAATCGTGGCCGCCAGGACGACACCTTTTTTTCGACCACCAAGTTTGAAGTCTCATTACTCTTTGAACAACCCTCGTATCGAGGCAAGAACAACTTTTTTAGTTACTTTGAACATTTTTGAATACAATAAATAAATAAAGTTTTCAATTATTCTTTGCGTTTTCAAATAAGAATTTTTTTAAAAAGGGTCCAAAAAACGGCTTTTGAATGAGAAGACCCCCTTAAATAAGTAAAAGAAGAAAAGGTGAGGCATGTGGGAATGTCGGAGGTCGTTCCCAGTGGTTTCGACTCGGTCTTGGTGGCACTTGGTCCACTTCTGCTCCTCCTCGGCGTGTCGAAGTTAGCTTCCTTTCTTGTTACATTTTATAATACGGAACCCCTCCAAAAACCCGAAAATTATAAAAACAATTATTAATTATTTCACTTTTGTTTTGTATTTAAATTTTCTTGTTTTTTTTTGGTTGTATTTTGTTTTGTTTTCTTTTTTATTTTCATTTTATGGAGGCGCTACTAAACAATGTATTTTAAATTATGGGCGATTACGTTAGATTAATTTTTGTTTGCTTTCTCCTCGAATTCATTTGCTTGCTGCAGGTTATGTGAGAATAGTCTTAAGCATTTAAAAAACGACTAAACGCTAGGATACACGGCATTAAATTAATACAAAGTTTAGGTTATGATATATATTTATAAACATTAAATGTTGTCATCCTTTAGATTTTTATATATATATGTTATATGCTGTTGTAGGCTGTAGTAGTTCCCTTTCATATACTCTACAATGTACAAAAAAACAATTCAATTAATTTCTCGATGCGGACTTCCTTCGCTTCTCAGTTTTCGATTTCCTAGTAAGTATTGTGGCAACTTAAGCGACTAACTAACTCGGTAGATAGCTACATCATATACATACATACACGAAGAATACATAATTGTCCCCCCAAAAAAGATATACACACCGCACTCGCTCCGAGCAGCTCTAACAGAACTATAACTTAAAAATTAAATTAAGCTTAAGCGCCTCAGCATTTATCCGCCTTGCATTCCAGCGCATCTTTAGTATTATTATTTTTGAAACTAGTTTGAAAACAAAGAATTTAAACTGTGTGTGGCTTCAGGGTGTTCGAAATAGGGTTGCGTATAAAGAATTCGTGGCTGTGAATTTTGGTATCTAATGTTCACTTTCTATGCTTGGTTCCTTGATTAAATCATGATAATGGTTTTGCTTCTGCTATTTTTGATGGGCTCTGGCTTGGTCCTCCTGGCTTGGCTGCTGCTCCTCGACGATGCCCCGCTGTTGCTACTGCTGATTCTTCGTTCCAATTAAAAGTAACTAGATTCTAATGTAGAACAAAATGGTTAAACGTATCGTAATGTATCGAAGCATTTCAAGAATCCCACTTCATCTTCTTGGTTTCGTTAATAATGTTCTTCTGCCTTTACACATTTATGACTTTTTCTTTGTTGATATACGTGTGTGTTTTGCCTTATTAATTAGCTATTGAAGAGAGCTTTTGGGAAACTCCGTTCACAGTCTTGGATTTAAGGACATCGTTTTCATATGAAAAGACAGTTTCCTTGCCATTTTCGACGACCCTGCAAGGTGAAATATATGAAACCATTAAACGATCAGTTTGTGTAAGGAGCTTCTCCTTTTCCTACCGCTTGGTCATCAGTTTTTTGCCATTGACAAACACCGTCGAGGTGGAGGTGCGCTTGACCCCGGAGCTGGGGCCACTGGAGGAGACGTGGGTGACATCACTTCTGCCATTGCTACTCGACATCGATGAGAACGAGGTGAAGCCGCTGGTGGGCATAAAGAAGTCCATCATCGAGTAGTTGAGCATGGGTGAATGGACGGCAAAGGGGCTGGCCAATTTGTGCTGATGATGGTGATGGTGGTGGCGAGAAGCTCCCGAGCTGCCGCCATTGCGTCGACTGCTGCTCGAGCCGCTCGTCGTGCCGCCATTTGAGTATCCATTGGCATCTGGAAGGACAGGATTAGTTACGTTACCCAACGACTTTGGTTTATATGAGTCTTCTTACCTCTGAAAAAGTCGGCGAAGGGCGAGTTCACGCCAAAGAACTCACGGAACACTTCTTCAGGCGGTCGGAATACAAACGGAAAGCCGCCCATAATATCAAAGTCATCAAAGTCGTGAGTGTTGTAGTGATGGCGGGTATGCGAGCGGCTCTGGCCACGATCACTCAGTCCATCCTTGCCGTACTCATCGTAGATGCGACGCTTCTTCTCTGTGGAACAGAAAGCATACCAAGCATTAGTTGATGGGCCAGCAATGTCATCCGTTTAGATTAGTAAGAAACACTCGAGCTGCTGAGGGGTTAGAATAGGCCTAAAATATAGCCAGTGGAACAGCATTTAGTTGCAGAAAAACAGAAAGGGAACAAACAACAAAATGCCGTGCGCCAGGACCTTGTCAGTCAGTCAGCAAAAAACAAAAGTAACCAAAAAGAACAATTGCAACGCTTCTGCCTCTGGCTTTACCAAACAGCTTGTGAAACGGCGTGCCCTCGAATAGATTGCGGAAGGTGAAGGCCTGATAGCGATTGCCGGACCGCCTGCCGGATCCCGATCCATAGCCAGAGCTCGGATAGTAGTCGTAGTCGTAGTCTCGGCCATAGGCCGAGGTTCCATTGCTGCCACCAGTGCGATAGCGGGAGTAGGAGCTGCTGCTGTTGCTGCTGGCCGAGGACTTGTGCAGCGTGGCACGAGAGTCGTAGATTCTGCGCTTACGTGCTAAACACACACACAATAGAGACTTAGCATTGGTAGGGTCATGGATTACGGATAGCCCATCCACGTGACCCCTCTAACCCTCTTTCCTAAAGGAATCAGAAGTAAACCTTCTGTAGGGACTGTGGCACTTACCATCGGACAACACTTCGTAGGCCTCGGACAGCTCCCGGAAGCGTTTGTTGGCCTCCTCCAAGTTGTCGGGATTCTTGTCTGGATGCCATTTCAGAGCCAATTTTCTGTAGCTGTTGGGTGGATAGATTATTTGATAGGATAAGTAAATATTTAAGAATGATTGGGGGCTGAATAAAAGCTTCGCCTACACAATAAAAAGAAGTACTTTAACCCCACCATAAACTAATACGTTATTCGATAAGCAGGAAACTTAATTAACTTCAATTCCCATGAAATTGCTAATAAAACAAAGGGGATTCACCCGAAAAATAACAATTCAGTCGATTAAGACTTGGGTCAGCTTTCAGCCGGATGTCAGTCAGTAGGACTTCCTTGGAAGCATGCATGTATGTTTGGAATTTTGCTGACGGATCGCGGTTTATTTGTGTACTTACGCCTTCTTCACTTCACTGTCGGTGGCCGAGCGCGGCACATCCAAGACCTTATAGTAGTCCACCATTCTGTGGCTTCGACTGTTTCCGCGCTGTTATTTACTCAGTTGCTGCTTGCTTGCTTGCAATCCAATGCGATTTTCTGTATTATCTCGGATACCCGTCGGTCGGCTGCAAAGATCATTAAAGATTCATAAAATTAGTAAGGGCTCCGATTGATCTATGCACCATTGTTGTTACTTCGGGCAGCATTTGGCAGAACTCAATTTCGGATTTGTTTTTTGATTAACTGGAAAAGCAAAGGCTAAATGGAAAACATAAACAAATAGGGGGCAGCACACACACACCCAATAATGAACGAATGGGAATATAAAGCAAAGTCAAAGACAGCTTGGTTTGCATTGGGCTGCCGCCGACACTTTTCGATTTTTTCGAGTTCAATGTCGTTCGAAAACCCCAATATGCCATCGCCCACACACGCAAACTACGAAAGAGACAGCACAAGTGCACTGGCAAAAATGGGAATAAAAAGATCATTATTGAAATGAAATGAAGACAAGTGTTTGGAGATTATTCAAAAAATGTCAAGCTTAAGATGCGTCTTCATTAAATCAAAAGTCAAAAGCTTGTCTATAAATAAAAGTCATTTTTAAATTTTCATAAAATACCTAAAATCTTTAGTAAAGATTTTCAGTGTAGACCACATAGAGGAAAATAAATAGAGTGAGTGAGAGAGGTGGCAAAACAAGGCGCATGTGTAGGGCGCTCAGTTAGCCGTCCATCAACTTTTGGGGCAAAGTTACTCAAGCGTTTGTCTCCCATATTCCCGTAACCCCCTTCACCTTCTTTGTCTCCTATTTGCCTCCCCCCTCATTTTCGTGCAAAATAGTCGCTAATTTTATTTAATTTGTATTGTTGTTGCCGCCGCTGTGCCGCTGGTTGTCATGCAGGCCCCTTGACATAAATTTGGCTTGATTTCACGCGCGAGTGTTTTTTATCAAACATTACAGCGGGGCAATTGTTTGAGGTTCATTGTTGTTTCTGTTAAGGAAAGTGCTTGGCTCAAATTAGCCCTGCGGCCAAGTGACATGACAATTTGCATTTACACACTCCATGTCGGCGGCAAAAAATCTCAAAACTCAAATTGAACTGAAACTGAACTTCACGAGCTGCTCGGTGGTCGACTGACCAACATCGGATATTATTGATGGGTTGTTTATGTTGCCAATGATGTGGGTTGTATCTTGGGTCTCGGTTCTTATGGGCGGCTCACTCGATTTGTTCGTGGAGATACTTATATACATTTATATATATTTTTCTCATTTTTTGTGATCTAATTTATGGCTTTCGATGCGGTGCGTGTGCGTAGCGTCTCATAAATTTGTCTATTAGAACAGATTCGGGCGTTAAAAACGAAACGGATTAGCGATATCTTATGTACATATATTTATATGTTTTGTTTTATTAAATGTACATATATACATGGAATAATTATATCACTTTGTCCAGAGATGTTTAAGTGCTATTGTTTTTAGCCAAGTCTTGGGTTAATGGCTTTTAAAATATTTAATTTCCACAAATTTCTGGTTTAAACCCTTTTGATTTAAGCCTTAAGCTTACTCACTAACCGACATAAATCAAGTTCTTCAGGTGAAACCAATGAAAGCAATTAAGAACCAAATAAAAAATAAAAGTGAAACCTTACAAGTGCTTCCTGTGCACGCCTGATAAAATAGTACCTTCGAGTCAGGTTCCACCGAGATTTGAACTCGGATCGCTGGATTCAGAGTCCAGAGTGCTAACCATTACACCATGGAACCACCGTATTGGCCAAGAGCCATTTTCCCCATTTTCTGGCCACCAGAATCGCACTGCGCATGCTGCAAATGTGGCGGAAAGGGATGACGGGACAATGTTTCACCCAAAGGCTCTCTTGAACTCGTGGGCGCCAATGCGACTTCTCTCAAGTAAGTTCGAATTTTCACTTTCGATTTCGTTGGCTGCATTTCCCAGCTGCTGCTGCTGCTGTTTCTCCTAAATTCTGTTTATTCCTCTGGTCTGTGGGATTAGTGCTTTCACACATGTTGCAATAGATTTAATACCTCGCTAGATTATAAATACTGAAATCGAAAGAGAATTCTGCAGCAAGAAAGTAGAAATAACATATATAAATTTAAATGAATTCCCCCTTTTTTATTTATACTAACAAGTTGCCCCCCGCTTATATACGAGCATATATAGCTGGCTATATAGATACCGACCCATAGATATAGCGGGTATGTGTGCGTGCGTAGTTTATTCGCTTTGCGGCTGCCTATATACCTGTTGACATATTCGGCAAATTCTAGGTCGTAGGTGTAGGAACTTGTAGCATTGTCTAAAAGCAGCAAATGACGACGACGACGCGACTGTCGCTGACGTTTCTGCTGCTGGCCAGCCATCCGCATGACACACACACGTCAGAGGAGCTGAGGAGGAGCTGGTGAGGAGACAGGTGGATCTGGATGCGAATGCCAGAGAGGAGGAGGAGGAGGAGGAGGAGGAGGAGGAGTCATTGGAAGACCAACCTGCTTGCTGTGGCTTGGATTTCACTGCCAACCGCTGACTCAAGACACATGGAATCGTTTGGAATCAAAGCTAAAACTAAAAAAAAAAAAACAACACTGGCGACTATCGACGAGACCATATCTCTGTGGCAGTCACTCACTCAGCACCTTGCCATCGTTCTGTGGGCGTCTGCGGCATTTAAGGCATTTGCCGGTTCTGTCAGACAGCTCTCGCAGGCCATAAGATTGCTTTGATTCAAACTATCTATCAAATGCCTTGCAGTGGCAGATGGTTCTAACGAAATGGAGTTCTATTTAACACAAATATCCTCTTTTTAATTTCATTGTTTAGGAGTTCCAGGAACTCTTTAAATTAAAACATTAAAATAACCAAGAGATATAGAAATGTTAATGGGGAAATTAAGGCTTTTACAACACCAAACGAATTAAGCAGTCAGAACTGGTTTGTAAAGATCGGACCAATTTCATCACTGGCATGATTCACTGTATGAGAAATTCCGTTACAGATTCTGTTCTTTCGAAAATGAGTCTCGACTGTAAGGCCACGCGACTGATAAAAAATAAAATCACTGCTTAAACATTGCACAGAGTAAAGTGATTTAATAATATTCTTTATGAAGATGAATCACAAAACTTGTATTGTTATAGCAAATATTTGTCCAGCCATGAGCTTATTTTCAAGGGGTTTTTGTTTTTGCTAATCAAAATTAAATAAGATAATGACTATTTTTCTTCTAAATAGGAATCTGCTTTTCCCATAAAAAGGGATGCCACAAAAATCTCTATGCTGTTCAAGTCCATTGTAACTACACCGTACACATTTTTCTACACTACTCCACTATGTTTATTTATTTATTTAGCCGCATCGAAATCAAGCGGCTTTAATCACAAACTCGAGGGACTCCTCCAAGTAACAAGTGTGTTTGGCAATAGAAACAAAAACAACAATAAAGTTAAGTTAAGGAAGCCGAAGTTAGTATACCCTTGCAGTTTGCAATTGGATAAAAGGTCAAAATTGCTATTAATATATTAAATATTTTGATATTAATAAGATTTTAATGCCGAATCGAAATATATATACGACTTTAAGCAATCACTGGCTCTTTAGGCCTCTTATGCCCTTAGGAACCCTTAAATAATTGCACTCTTTAAATCGATATTTTTCCATAATTTTATATGATAATTTCCCGGATTGCATTACAAAGCTTCTCACTGAAATTATAGTATGTATTCTGCAAGAGTATAAAAACAACACGCACCTGGAGCCGGGCTGCCTACATGGCATGGACAGAGCTCTAAACCTGAACTCACTCCAAAAATTATGTATGCGGTTAGTCTGCGATATTTGTTGTTATCTTTCTGCTAGAGTTTTGTTGTTGTTGTTGTTTATGCAAATTACATCACCATCGACGACGATATCGATATGGTCGATACCCCCTATGTGTGTATGTTGCACTGAGATTTTCCTCACACTTTTCAATTTGTTGGCGCTTCAATTAAACTTGAAATTGTGTCATGATAAGCAAACAAACAAGAGAGAGAACAGCGTGCAGCCACACTCGATTTATCAGGTGGATAATGGTGGGAAGAAGAAGACGATAAAGCGGAGGAACAACAGTTGGTTGCGTGTCTGTTTTTTTTACACTTTTTGTTACTGTTGCTATTTTGTTCGATGGAAGATGGAGTTCGGTGTTAATTTTGCCATAACCTACATACACAAATACACACTGCTTGCTGCAATCACACGCACACGTTACACACACGCACAAGCGATAAGAAAACGCTGCGCATTTATGGGGCTTGATGGAGAGTCACGCAATCGTGGGGACCAGGGGGGAAGAGAAAGAGATATGGGGGCTGCACTCGCACTTTTCATATATTTACATTTGTCGAATTAACCAGCAATTGCCAATCTCGTTTTTAACTTAGTGTTACGTTCAGTTTCGTAGTCGCAAGTGTGCATCGTACTGCACATAATACGGAAGAACGCGGCGAAGAAAGAAAAATAATAATGAAAACTTTTCAGCCCCGCGCTCACGTACGCGGCAATGAATCGTTCAGAATTGAATGCAAAGTTTAAATAAAAGACTCGCAGCTACGGGATCGAAAGAGACCCAAAGAGAGAAAGAAAAAGAGCGCAGGAAAAAGCTTGGTTTGCCAAGGCGAACTTTGGATACCCTTAAAGTTGTTATTAAGTTGCTCTTTTGGCAGAATTTAAAATAAAAGTTCGATGATAATAATAAAATGTGGACTAGATCCACAGGGCTGGTGATAGGGAAATTATATCAAATCACAACAAATAAATGATATTCAACGTTTGTTAATAGGGTGGCCTGCGTTGCAAACTTTTAGTTGAAACTAACATACCTCTCTACAAGGGTATCTAAAAAAGAGAGTTGTCCGCCCAGCTGACGGCATTGCCATGCGTGACTATCTGTGCCATGGGAGAGAGACAGGTAAGAGAGTTTACAAAATTGTTTGCCAGAGCTCTTTGCCTCCCCATTATTGTTATTGTTGTAAGCGCAACTCACCGGAAGTTGTTACGCTGATTCTTGCAAAAATCGTTATCTCGCAGATATCATTTATCTCTTGGGTCTTCTTATC